TACGTGGACCGCAGGCTCTGTGAGGAGGGCAGGAACGCGCGTCTGTCGGATTCTCTGTTGGAGCCTCCAGCACCAGGCTCTGGGGCAGGTGCTCACGCGTTCACTGAGCGAATGTTCAGGAGCAAATGCAGGACTAGCCAGAGAGTGAAGAGATGGGCTCAAACCCGATCTGGCCCGCTCCGCACCCCAAGCCTTCCTCCTCCCTCTGCATCCAGCCACCTCTGGGCAGTGTCTGCTGTTCCCCCTCCGGCCTGAACACTGTGCCCCTTCGTGCCTGTCCACGGCTGGACGGGAGGGCACGGGGCGCAGGCGCTAAGTACGCAGCGATGGTCAACCGTGGGATTCAGAGAGAGGCGCTACCTCTGCAAACAGGACGGCGTCCAAGGCTGGAGACAGGCAGGGGCAAGTTGGGAGCACAGAGCCAAACAGAGGAGCAGGCCCCCAAATGACTTGGGTGCTCCGGGTGCAGGACTTCCTTTTGGAGTTTGTCTCATTTACCCTTGATCTTGACAGACAGGACAGCAGCCAGACCGTTGTCCCAACACACTACTTAGGCCTGGCATTCCCCAGCTCAAGAACCAGCCATGTTCAAATCGAACTCCAATAAACAAAAATATACAAAAAAAAAAGAAGAAGGAAAAAAGAACCAGCCATGTGTCCCCGAGCCTGCTGGATCTAGAGAGAGCCCGTCTGAGCCCACTTTGTATCCCCGGCCCCATCCTCCCACTCTGGGAGGGTTTCGCATGCACTCGTCCCTACTTGGAATGCCATCCCTCCCACTTCCCTGTCCCCAGACTAATCCCATCTTCCAAATCCTTTGGTGTTCCCTCAAACCCAGAGGTGGCCCCTGAGAAGTCTTGCCCGCAAGGCTTCTCCTATTCCTAGCCCCAGCTCAGGTGTCCACTCCTCCAGGAAGCCCTCCCTGACTTCGTTAGCCCCATTTGATCGCCTTTTTGGAAGTCCAGTGGTGTTTCCAGTGGTGTTAATACATTAGCTGCTAGTCACATGTGGCAATGTAAATTTTGATAACCAAATAAAAAATTCAGGGGATCCCTGGGTGGCTCAGTGGTTTAGCACCTACATTTGGCCCAGGGTGTGATCCTGGAGTCCCGGGATCGAGTCCCACGTCGGGCTCCCTTCGGAGAGCCTGCTTCTCCCTCTGCCTGTGTCTCTGCCTCTCTGTGTCTCTCATGAATAAATAAAATCTTTAAAAATAAAAAACACAAAATTCAGCCCCTCATTTGCACTAACCATATTTCTAGTACTCAGTTGCCACATGTGCTACTGGCTGGCTACCCCAGGGGATAACGCAAGTTTAGTTCATCTTGTTTCTTGGTCATATAACTTGTCTCCCCTCAAAAACCTCTGAAAAGCCCACCAAGGCCCCAGCACTAAGGCAGGGTGATTCTTCATCCCCTTAAAGGATTCACATTAACCACTGAACCATCGTTTTACACAGGGCGCAAGGGGACACCCTGCTTCTTGAGTACTTCTCTGGCTTTTCTTCCAAGTCCCCAGTCCACCATCAATCTGCCTTGTAAATTGGACATGAGGAAAGCTTTCTGAATGGCAGTGAGGCTAGACCACAGCACACGTGAGAAGGGGACAGCCACTCTCCCAAAGCCCCTTGGAAAGAAGGGGGCACTGCTCAGTTACTGCTAGGGCACTGGGGAGTGAGATGAGAAGAGGTGAGAGAGTTTGAGGATTTACCCTTCACTTTCCAGTCATGTGACTTTGGGCAAGTTGCTTGGCCTCTCTGAACCTCCATTCCTTCACGTGCAAAGTGAGCTGCTACTACCTCCTACTACACAGGCTTCTTGGGAGGACAAATGCAGGACTGAGTACCTTACTCACTGCAGTATTTTATTAACTTGGGAAAGAGGGTCAAGCACAAGGGTGCTGCTGGGGCCCCAGCACCCAGTGTCCCCGAGACACAATTTTGCTGGCTTCTCAAGGCCCTGCCAGGGAGGTTGCTTTGCTCACTCAGTATTGCTGTCCCTCATCTCCAAACCCCGCTTCAGGCCCAGTTCCAGAGTTTTCCGTAGGTGCGGTTAGCTGTAAGCCATCTCTTCATCTCTCTTTCAGGTACCACTGCAGCTAGACTCCAAATCTGCCCTAGGTCCAAAGAATGGCATCTACATCAAGATTGTCTCCCGCTGACAAAAGCTTCATGTGGGAACTCAGATTTGGGGGAAAATATCACTGAAACCATTGAAAGGGTGCCTGACATGCAAATGCTTAATAAATGTTTGTTGCACTTAGTTTTGACTCTGCTGATGATATATGAGCCGCTGATCCACCTCGCTCAATCAGAGATTGCTGGTAAATAAGCAAAAATGTAATTTTGTCAAAATGAGTGTCTGGGGTTTTGAAGGAAGTCCTGGCCTCAGGATGGAAGAAGGAACCTACAGGGCAGAGGGACACGGGGACACTCAGTGAGCTGCCCTGATGGCACCAGCCCCTGGTGCACTTGTGGCGTTTGACTTAAAAAAGGACATTTATTGGAAGCCCAGCTTCAACAGTGGCTCAGAAGCTTCCTGATGCTTTGATTTTCCTACGTAGGAAATACTAACTTTGTAAGGTTTTAATGCACAGAAGAGTGAAAGGAACAAATGTACAAGGCATTGTGACTTCTCTTAATTTTGATCAAAGTGTCAAAATGTAGAAGTGAATGTATTATAACTATCGTGTTGCTGAGAAGTTGAAATTCAACGAAGAGCTCGCAAGTTGAAGCCCACATCTGCCACTAGCTGCGTGTGGTCGGGGCTGCTGGTCGTCCCACGTCCCTGTGCCTCCGTGTCCTCATCTGGAAAACAGAGCAGCGGACCAGGGTCAGAGCCTCGTCCTCTACGCACCATCTGAGCAGCGCGGAGGGGCTAGGTGTCCTGTAGATGGCATCCTGGGCAGGAGTTTGTGAGCGCCGCTCCCAGAAGCTGACCTGCCTTTAGGCTGTTTCAGGAGAGCTGGCTCAAGAGGGTCCCACGTATCCGTGGCTGTGGATGCTGCCTCTGCCGTTGGGCCCTCTCCCACTGCAGCCCGGAACACCCCGGGCTCCCCGAACGTCCTCCCCTGGAGAGCCCCCTTCTCACTTTCGGGCTTCCCTGGAGGCAAGAAGGCAGCCTGGACCCCAGCACGGTCCCAGCTCTAGGAGCTGCCCGGCCAGCCCATCACACAGCTCTCTCTGCACCCCTGCTGTCACTACTGCTCCTCTCTGCGACCAAGCCCTTTCTAGACATCTGACCCTGGGGCTCACACTCACACTCAATGTGTGAGAAAGTCACACATTCCCATTCCTGGTGAGCCATCTGCCCTTCCTGATGGCTCTGCCTGTCTCCCCGTCCCTGACCCTCTGTGGCCATTGCAGAGCCTCATCCTGCAGAAGGGCCCAGTTGAGCACCTGGCTCCCTCCTCAGAGCACAGCCTGTGCCCGGCACGCTCCGGCCTGTCAGCTCCATTGGCTGCCCTCACCTTCCTGTCCAGGTGCCTACCACCTTCAGACACAGCAGTGAGGCTTCCTACTGTCCTAGAATTGCTGGGCTTGGCCCCACTGGTCTTTCAAGCCACAATCCCCAGTTCTCCCAAAATGCCACCATCGATGCACAACACCAGTTACCATGGGGGCAGGAAATGGCATGGACTGGGCCCTCCACAGGACCCTTTAGCTGGATCCCAATCAGGTCCTCAGGACTAGTCATTCACACACTTGCCGTGGGTCCCACCGCCTCTTTGCACCGAGAGAGTTACCATCATTTTGACTTCTTCCCATCACAGTGCCCACCCCCTCCCAGGCCACAGCCTGGCCACATGGACCCTGGCCCTCTCTCAAATTTCAGGTCCAAGTTGGTATTCCTTCTGGCTTGCCTTCTGAAAGGTGAGCAAATCCAGCGCCTCTGCAATCTTCTAGCTCAACTGCCTTTTCTGGAGCATGTGATCACCTCCACACCAGGCTTCTCCAACCATTCTTCCCACCCACACTCCCCACTGGACCATCCCTGCTGCCCACCACTCAGCTCCCAGCAGCCAGATAGTTAATGAGCAGGGGATCAGGTCCATGTAAGACTCAGCAGGCAAGCATCTGACTTAATGGTTCTCCCTGACACTCCTCTGGCTCCCCACCTCCACTGTAGTAGGACCAGGACTCAAATCGAAAATAAAATTTCAGGATCAGTCAGGGTATGGCGGAAATATCTTGGGGCCTCTGAAAAATCCTACCATGTACAATGAGGTGACCGGCCCTGCAGGTGGTTAAGGTAGTACTGTTGTTGCTGCATTTTTTTGGTCATATAATTCAGTTCCTCTCTGCCTTGACTAGCTGACCTGGGTAAGGTTCCAGGGCACCCCCTAGCCCTGGTCCAGAGATGGAAAAACTCAACAGCCTTGGATCTGAGAACTCCAGGATAAAGTGACAGAAGCGGAGGCGTCACGTGGAGTGGACACACTGTATTAGGAAGGTGGGGGTGGGCAAGAAGGGTGTAGGGGAGGAGGGACAGCCCACTGCTGAGGACTGAACCCAGAGACCAAACAGTACAGCCACCTCAAGACACGGAGCTGCCCTGCCAGCTCCTCCTCCCCCAGAGCAGAGCCAGCCAGTGCCCAGAGAGACTCCCATCAACTGCTGTGAGTGAGTGAAAGACGCACAAGATGCACCCACCCCTCCATGTCCACAACACCCTCTGCTCAGTAGTGAATCTGGGTTTTGTGGAACTTGGAACTACAGGGGTTGGGTGGGGAAGAAAAAAAATACAAATATGTAACTTTTGCAAATATAACAGAGATGTAAGATCATGTGGCCATATAGTTAGGGCCTCTCCTAGGGTTGTGGAAGGTGCCCCGGCAAGTGAGAGGCCCTGAACCTTCAGGCTCATCAGCTTCAGGATAAGTCCACACACAGCCCCCAAGGGCAGTAATGGGGGCTCTGTTATAGCCCAACACCCAGAGAAGTGCCTCTACCCAGCAGGTGCTCAATAGACGCTGAAGAATGAGCTTTGGTTGTCGTGCACTTCAGATAAATATTCTTTTATTTCCATACTCCATTGTGACATTTGCAGCACAGGTATCCAAATCTCACAGGAACAGAAAACCCATATTCAGAGGGTATCCAGTGTGCTTAGGAGATGTGGGAATGGGCATTCGTGGGCAGAGCCCTGGGGATCCTTGGGGGCAGCCCCTCATTCATGTCACCTTCCACTAAGTGATGCTGACCCCTCCAGGACAAAGGGAAACGACAGGGCCACAGTGATACCACAGTAGCCACTTGCTCTAACACCACGATAGATGGGCCAGTTCCAAGGGCAGGAGCCCAGGAGAAGAAGGGGTGCCTGGATTAAAGCCTGAGCAACAGAGTGACTACCTCCTGGACTGATGATGGCTACTATGTCATTTTGACAAAAAATTAAACAAGATGCCACTGAGACCCTGAAAAACCAAATTACTCACTGCAGAGACAGAAAGTTAAATTTAAAATCAATCCATAAAATAGTACCTGGAAACTCTGTGCCTGGTGCCAATCAGCTGCAAAGTCGACAAAGAGTGTAAATAATAAAACTTTAACCCATTAGTAAAAAGCAATAACAGGCCCACCTATAATCACTTCTGGTTAGTCTACTAATGAGCCCAAAAGTGGCTTAAAACCGAACCATTATTAGTGAGATTAAGACTGTAACTTCATCAGGAAGTCAACGTTAAATGAACAGTTCATTAAAAGTTTTTGTTAAAAAAAAAAAAAAAAACACAACCCTTCCCAAATAGCAACGCCAAGGAAGACATGCCTGAAAGGCACCTAAAACACCCTTGTGTGCTCACTGCCGGCTGCTAAAGAAAGACGCCAAGGAGAAGAGGGTGGAGGTCCCCGTCGTGGGCTTGTTGGAGGTGGCATATTGGATCACGTACTCCGGGTAGACCTGGTGCTTCTCAAAGATCACGAAGATGGAGGGGTCCGACATGCTGTTCACGCAGCTGTCATAGAAGTTGTTGCCAAGGCCCTCCTTGGCCGGGGGGCGGACGAAGGAGGCGTTGCCTCGGATGAACTCCCCGACTAGCACCCGGGCCAGGAACATCGTGTGGGACTTGGTGTCGGATTTGCTGTAGTGGTGGGAATAAGCTGCGTCTCGGGCGAAGTAGCTCCCTGCAAGGAAGGACACGTGTGGGCTCAGTGGGGTATTGGGGGGCGCAGCCTGCAGCCTGGCAGGGGAGGCTCAGGTGTCCTGTCAACCAGGAGACATTCCTGTCTCCCTGTCCTCCCTCTTTCCTAGCCTCTTCCCTCACGAAGGGCATTAGGGGGAATCACCTAACTCTGAGACAGAAAACTCAAGTTCTGCCTCTCTCAAATCCTAAGGGTCCCCTGGGCACATCACTACTTAGCCCCTAAACCTCAGTCTCCTCAGCTCTAAAATGGGGCTGTCATGCCAGCCTCATGGGGTTGGTGCAGAAAGGTAACAAGACCCCATACATGGAACCGTAGCCACTGGCAGCCTAGCAGAGATTTCTGAAGCACAGCAAACAGGAACCTGCATCAGAGAGTGCCACATACACATATGCAGAAATACGACCCACCACTGGATTCTGTCCATCCCGCCCCCACAGCTGTTGCCACACCTGATTCAGGCTGACTGATGGACAAGTGATAGAGTCAGAGGAGGGCTGCTGATGACAGTACAAGATGCTTCAATTTAGCAACCATGTCATGGTTATGGCAAAGAATGTCCTCGTTCTTAGGAGGTGCTCAAGGGGGAAAGAGCAGGCAGGACCTATGCCACCTACTTACTTGCAAATGAGTCAGAAGAAATAAAGCCAATGCGGCACAATGTTAAGCTGATGAATCTAGGTAAAATTTATGCAGGAGTTTTAAAAACATTATTCTGGAGACTTCCCCGAGTTTGAAATTATTTCCAAATAAAGCTTAAAAATAACACAGGAAAATAGAGAACTCCCATTATGGCTGGAATGACATGGACACAAGCGTCCCTCAAGTATTCAGATTCTCATCCAAATGATCATGCAGGCAACAGCCTGAGGCCGAGCTCGGGGCTGGGAAGGCACCTGGTATCCTCCCCTGACTCATGCTCACCATCTCCAGGGGCCTCTACTCCACAGGGACACAAAACCCTGCTCCAACCTTGGGTGAGGCTCCCGGCTGCACACAGAGGAGTAAGGGGGCCACCGGCTAGGCGCCCCCTCCCCCCGAGGGCCAGGGGTCCTCACTCACTGAGTTTGACCCAGCTCATCATCTCATGCTGGTTCCCCCATGCCCTCCATCAATTTGCTCTAAAAGAGTAAAGCCAGGTTCTGCCAGTGGGGTCACCTTTGCCCTTACCCTTGCCGTAGGAAGTGCCATGAAGACCACAGACCCTCCAGTCAAAGTTCTGCTGGCAGATGGCATCGACGAAACTGGCACTGGTGCCGTGGAAGAGCTGCCGCTCATCTACCATCTTCCCTCCATTTCTCTTCTGCATTTGCCCTTTTTGCCTAGAATCATGGGAGAGGAATGTACGTTGGAGGCAGAGAGTGCCTGCTGCCAAATATAGGCCACTCGACCCAAGAAAACACGTTTTATTAGAAGCCTCAGGAATCCGGGCCCATGAGACCAGGCAGGCGCCAGGGCATGGGAAAGAGGGTGAGCAACGGGACCTGGGTGAAGAGCAGAAGGGAAGCCTTTCCCTCCACAGATCTAGATGTCGGAAGCTTCTTGCACTCCCACAGCAGGCCAGCTGCTGGCAAACACACACACCACCTCTTCTTCCTCACCACCTTGCTTCCCGATGGAGCTTAGCCAGGGAAGCTGGGAGATGCTGGTCAGTTGAGGGGCCATCCCTCTACCTTCTCTAAGCTACCCTGATTTCATCACTGGGCCCAGAGTACAGATGACACTGCTCCAACCCCCTCTTCTGGGGACAGGTCAGCAGGACCTCGGGCCCTCCCTCCCTGGTGACCTGCTGCAGACCTTCTCTCTACAAGGACAAGTTGCTGAGCACCCAAGAACATGCTAGTCCTCAGGCCCGAAAATGAGGCCTGGCTCCCTGGCTGTCAGGACAACAGCTCTATATGCCTTGGGGCACGGGTGGCTCCTACTGACCAGTTCCACGCAGGGAGGCAGAATGCACATGTGCAAGTGCGGGCTCTGTTACTAGGGCAGCTTTAGTCCCCTTGGCTCTGAGGAATATGCTGACACTAAGCTGTAAAGATGGAGAGATGGAGAGGAAAGCAGGGACACAGCTCCTGATGCCACCAACACCGGGCAAGCAATGGCTGCCATCTCAGGTTGTCCCTCAAACCCTGGACACATTTGGCAAGCAGCTAGCTTACTGTGTATGGATTGGAGGAACAGTCACCAGCCCACTAACAATGAGCCCCTAACATACCACTGGTAGACCTCCCAGAGGGCCAGATTCTGGACTCGCTCAATCTTCTGAACAAAGTAGAAAGGCAGCGTACGGTTAAAGAGGTTCCAGACCTTTTGATACTCGTCCGATGAAGAACTGAGGGTAATTTTCTAAAAGAAGCAAACATTTTTTCTCTGTAATCATCAAAGTGTAAAATATAAATCAGTCCCTTCCAGGTCTGCTCATAAAATGCTAGAACTGCAGGCAAGACCAGAGTGATCACTACTCTCCCTTGGCCCAGACATGTAGTCTCTTCAGGTGTGATGGGGGAGTAGGCAGTTTGTGGTCACTTTCCTTTTGTTCACTGTGAAATCCTCCTAAAGGGCAGATACATGATACTCATGCCAACACCACCCTGGGTGTCCCCACTCCTCCTCTGTACCCACACAGGGCAGACTATATAGTCTATAAGACCAGAGCTGGTGTCAATAAATGTGGAGCACACTTGTTCGGTGGAGGTGGGCAAACCCTATTAAAGGAGATCTGGGCTCACAGGCAGCAGTGTGGTGGGAGCACGCCACACTGCAAGTGCTAAGGAAGAGGCAGGCTGGTAGATGGGCACACATCAACTCAGGAGCACCATGAGATGTGCAGGGATGGTGCCTGGTGCTACCGCATCCTCCCAGGTGAGCCTACCTCTCCCTTAGTGTCTTGCTCTGGGAATAGCACTCCCTATGCGCCAGGAGGGGCCCAGAGCAAGGGCAGCTGACATTCGCACAGTGACAATCCACCAATTCCTGCACTTGCTGTCTGCACCTAACCAGCCCCCCTGTTCCCAGCTAAACAGGCTTGGCCCCATGACAGCGCATTTGGGAATTCCTGAGAAATCCCTCTGTACCATGGCCTTCCCCTACCCTGTGTTCAGTCTGAATGTCCATGGGTTTCCTGCAACTGAAATTATGACTCTGGTTTCCCTGCTCCCATCCCATGGGAGGACACCAAATTCCTCTTCCTCAAATATGGAACCAGCCTGCCCCTCCTAGACCAGACTGTCAAGGGTTCCCATACCTGCCATGGCCTTCAGCTTGGCCTCACGACCAAGGGCTCCAGAGCACAGCCCTGACCTCCCTCTTGCTCCCCCATTGTCTGTGCACACCCTCCATCCTGACCTGGGCTCCTTCCCTATGCAATTTCCATTGTCTTGTATGTTCTTCCCCTATTTCTGCCTGTACGAGCATCAGCCATCACTTAGGTGTGGACCCAGTGAAGCTTTCTCCATTCCCCTCAATATGGTCACCTCGTTCTGTGACACTGACTACTACTATTGTTCAAACTCGCCCAGCCCTTCTCACATGTGTCTGTGCTGCTGGAGTCTGTGTACATTCTGTACAACCCAATGAGAGTCGACATCTCACGGCAGACAGACACAGAGCCTATATGCCCAGTGCCTGACAGGGGGCCAGCATCAAAAGGCCATCTGAGTGCCCCACATTCAAGAGGTGGTAATGGACAATGGCCTGAGTACTCTACAGAACTCAGCATAGGTCTCGTTAGCTGGCAGGCCGTACATGAGCCATCTGAATTGATGTTTCCTATCTTCTAGTATCTGGCACCTTCCAACAGCAACTCCCCCTCTACATATCCCTCATCATACTCAAATCCTCCTCTGGTTTTTCTTTTCTTGCTTAGTAAAACTAATACTTATTTGGCTAAGCAGCTGTTAAGCTCCTATTTCTGCTCTTTCCAGAAATTTCCAGATCATCATCCTCGATCCACAATATATTCTCTCCCCTTTGGGCCACAACCATCTTCTTCTGAATGGTGAGCATTCAGCCTTAAAGTCCCCACGACCTGAAAATAAAACCCCACATAGCTATAGCTCCTCCCTCCTGCCCTAGCCTGACCACACAGCTTCCTCAGTGGTGGAGTCTGCTCACTAACTATGTCTAAGAACACCCTCCTCCATGACCCAAGGCAGCGCAAGTCCCATACCTTAAAGCCAGGGTCTGGCAGGGCTGAGGGGTCCCAATGGTCTGGGATGCTCTTTGGGCCTTGAAACTTGACGCTGCTACAAAATGTAAACAAAAACACTGAAATATTTTGTTCTTAGACTCCAGCAGATCTACTCTAAGCAGCTTCCACTAGCTGGTACCACCAGTCTTGGGTCTCAGCATACCATTTTGTAAAAGCAGGTAGAAGGTGAGGAAGCACTTAATAAGCACACTATCCATTTTTTAAAAGCAGGTAGAAGGTGAGGAAGCACCTAATAAGCACACTATCCACCATGTAGGAGTACATCTATTTTGCTCATGTAGCCAAAACCCAATCAATCAGGCATGAGGGATCCATTTCTCACCTGTATCTCAACTCTTGCATGGAAGGCAAAGAGTATCTGATAAAAGCAGCATGTACAAACTTTTATCCACAATTTTAAAATTCAAAGAATTCTTTTTTCAAGCAGCCTCAATGAGGTATAATTGGCATACAAAACATTTTTAAAGAACAGAAAATTTACATCAAAACTCATTTGGCAGGAGCACCTGGGTGGTTCAGTCAAGTGTCTGACATGAGATAGAGCCCCGTGTTAGGCTCTGCACTCAGCAGGGAGCCTTGTTTGGGATTCTCTTTCTCCCTTTTCCTCTCCTCCCAAAGCTCAAGCTCACACTCTCTCAAAAAATAAATCAATCCTAAAAAAACAAAAAGAAACCCACCTCATTTGGCAGTAGAAATTTGACTGGAACTGCTAAGGGCACATGGTTATTTCATACTGCTGCAATATTAGCATGCTTAATTACAGGTCTCACATAACACAAGCACCATATCTTTCCAAAAGATAAAATAAAGTCTAAGCTCTAAAAGACACATGACCCAACAGGTCTAGGAACAGGGACTGTGTCACTATAATTCCAAATCTTTCTGACTCTGTTTCAGAATGCTGTTCTTCCTACAATAGATCTACCTTCTGTTTCTACGGGCATGAGACATGTACCTTCATCCTAAGCCTCAAACAACTCCCACAAATAACTCTCCTAGAAAAACAGCACAGTTTAAAAATAACTAATCAAGGTCCCACAAGCAAGAATCAGCCAGAAACAGACCATGAAGACTTAAGATGCTGAAATTACAAGGCAGATTATAGCACAATTATTCTTTCCGTGTTTGAAGACGTAAAACACAAACTTTAAAAATATATGCAAGAAACTGAGCTATAAAAAGATGTGGAGGGTTTGGAAAAGAACCAGGAAGAACTTCCAGAAGTGAAAGATACAGTCCTTGCTAGTAGAGGTTCCAAAGACATTTGTGCAAGCAGGGGAGACCACCTGAGGACAGAGGAGTGAGCCAAACTAGACAGCAAGTGTGGTTATCCAGAATGTGGAGAGGAGACAGTAAATGTGGAGAAGCTGGAACACAGAGGAGAGAGAGAGAAGGCCAAGATCTAGTCAGAACCCAACCAAAGCTCCGAAAAGAGGAGAAAGGAAAGGCTGGAGGCAATTTTAAAGAGAACAAAGGAGACTCTCAGAGTGACACAAAGGTCTAAGAAGTCCCAAGAATCTGCAACAGGATAAATAAAAGCACATGCCCACCCACACCAGGTTAATAAAAGTGTCTAGCAGCAAGACTGACACAATGTGAAAGGCAGCCAAAGGAAGACAAGAGGGATTCTGGAAAAGCTCCAGTTAGACTAACAGCTGATTTTGCGAAAGCAGCAATGGAAACCAGGGGACAGTGGAATGTTCTAGGAGAAAATAACCACAACACAAGATGCTATACTACAGCCAGTGAAAATATCTTCTGAGATTGAGAGCAAAGTAAAGATATACTCAGGCAAACAAAAATACAGTTTTCCAACAGACCTCCATCTAAGAAAATGTGAAAAGACAAAGTAGTAAAATGCGAGTGAATCTAATGTAACATTCATAGTATAAAGTAACAGTACCTCATGAAGTTTAAAAACAAGTTTAAAAACAGTACCTCATGAAGTTTAAAAACAGTACCTCATGTTAAAAAACAAGAGAGGAAATTAATGGAATAAGGTATATGAAAGCCCTTCTATCAGCTGATGAGAAGACAAAGACACTGATCAACTCATACCTAAAAACACGTTATAATTTCTAGTATGACCTTTAAAATAAAAGGTAATATAGTTTGTAACTTCCTTTCTTTTTTAAAAATTTTATTTATTTGAGAGAGAGAGAGAGAGAGGCAGAGACACAAGCAGGCTCCATTCAGGGAGCCCGACATGGGACTCGATCCTGGGTCTCCAAGATCATGCCCTGGGCTGAAGGTGGCACTAAACTGCTGAGCCACCCGGGCTGCCCTAGTTTGTAACTTCCAAACTAGTAGAAGGGGAAAAAAAAATGAAATGACTGAAAATATCTTCATAAAGTGGGAAGAAAAGAAAAAATAAGATCCAATCACATGAATAAAACATTTTTTGGAGGATACAAGGACAGTAAGGAACTAAAACCAGAAAGCTGATATACAAATGCCATTTCAAACTCTACATCAAATTCTATTAGAACTCTGGAATGTAAAAAAAAAACAAAAAACAAAAAAACTCTGGAATGTGGGAATGTGGAGATCATATTTAGGGATCCTGTCATTTGTGTAAACAGAGAAGTTGTTTCTGAAAGTGACCCACTCTACAAGTCCCAGTTGGCCTCAGAGCCCCCAGTGGACTCGCTTGCTAGAGTTACATGGCTGCTGTCACATGGGTTATCAGAAGAGCCACAAACCTCACTACATTGACTCTGTGATTCTCAGGGTATGCAGTGGGGAGATCCTGAATCAGTCATATCTTACACTCAATTTGACCAAAATGATCACTTTCATTTCTGATGTGCGGTGTCTGTGGCCCTCCCTGAAGACTATGTTACAGTCATAATAAAAGACATCCAGTCTCAGAAAGGAGACAAACAGATTTCTCCACACTGTATCTAAGGTAGACTCTGGTTAGGGAAAGAATCAAAAATAACTTCCAAAAGTAGAAGTAGTCACAGTTAACTAAACTGTAAATCCAGAAGCAATATGCAGAAGGGATAGATACATTTCACTAAAAAATAAGCAATTCTGTGGGTAACACACTTTATAAACAAAGCTGAGAAACAAAGCTGAGAACTAACAAACTAAGAGAAAACGTTTGTGATTTGTTATAAGAAACTGAGTGCTCAGGGATCCCTGGGTGGCTCACAGCTTAGCGCCTGCCTTTGAGCCAGGGCGTAATCCTGGGGGTCCCAGGATCGAGTCCCGCATTGAGCTCCCTTCGTGGAGCCTGCTTCTCCCTCTGCCTGTGTCTCTGCTTCTGTGTCTCTCATGAATATATAAATAAATAAATCTTAAAAAAAAAAAAGAAAGAAACTGAGTGCTCATCTCCCTAGTAGATAAAAGGCTCTTAACATTTAAGAAAACTAAGAAAAAGGCTGAAAGAAAAAAAAAAAAAAAAGGCTGAAAGAAAATTGAACAAAAAGACAAACTGTCCAAGGAAAAAGAAAGGCAAAACGCTGTTACAGTTAGGAAAAATATTAAACCTCACTTGTAAGAGAAAGCAAATTAAAATGGACTGAAACACCCTTTGCCACTCATAAGAATAGCAAAAGTCCAAGAGATCGATGATTCACCTGTTGGCAAGGCCAAGAGAAACAGGTACCTCAAGCATCCTGAGGCAAAGTGCATAATGGTTCAACCCCATTAAAAGGAACTTGCATTTACCTTCTAGAACTTTAACCTCCATGAATACAAAACAGCACATACACCAGATCATCCACTATGGCATTACCCTTGTAACAACAAAAGATCTAAAACAATGCAAAGCATCCCTTCAAAGTGGACAAATTAAATAAACTAGGGTATGTACAGATGATGGAGAGCCATGAGACAGATTTCAGAAGATTTCAATGTACTAAAAGGGAATAATTATTTCTAAGTGGAAAAGAATAGTATAGATAAAATGCTACCTTTAGTGCAAGAAAAAGGAAATCAGAAAACACTTTTATATTTATGCATTTGCTCATTTTTTCCAAAAGAAACATAATACAGATAAATCAGAAATATATGTAAATAACTATTCATTGTGGAAATGTTGGAGGCTAGAGTGAGGAGCATACTGACTACCAAGTATATCCTCTCCTTGGACTGATCATACCTTTTCCCTCTAGCTCCTATCAAATTCTTCTTTAAATGATCATGCTCCATAAATACAACCACTAATATCCATCTGTGAGACCCCAGAAGAACCAGCAGAGAAGCTATCAGTTTGCCGTGAAATGGCAATGCGCCTGATTTCTCTAGCTAACAGAAGCCATAGCTGGCTGTCAACAACATGGTCTGAAGTCCCAGCTTAGGCTGTGACACATCCAACTGTAACTGGTACTGTGGTACCTCTTGCCATGCAGGCCATTCTCCCCCAGTAGAATGTGGGGGACCTCTGGGAGGGCCATGCAGATGGAGAAAAGGACCCTTCCTCCACTCCGATCTCAGCACATCGGCATCCAGCCTAAAACTACTGGTTCAGAAGGGGTCTGATCAGAGCAAAGCTCATAAATATGCCCCATCAGCTGCAGGAGGGCCCTCTCCTGCTCTTAAAAAAAAGGCTTACAAGGCCAGGCGCTCCCCTAGTGGCTTTTGGCAGCCACAGAGAATCCACCCTGAGGATGAAGCTGGCCGCTTGATACCTGCAGAATCTATATTTGGGTTTGTGGCATACCGTGATATTCAAGTACTGAAATACATGTTTTTTACTGGTATAATTCCATTATTTTTTTATCACTTCAACATTTTCAAAGACTCAAGTCTATGATTCAACTATTCAACTGAAAATACAAACTGTTGAGCCAGCTTCAGCCTAGACTGGCTTGCAGATCACAATAAGCAGCCTTATAATTGTGTATCTCAAGCTTTCTAGCTACAAAGATAATGCTCTGGCCCCAAGCCTTTCCCAACTCATGGAATATAGAGGACTGTAGTCAAACAGCTACAGGTGACTCGGCATCAGAACTGGCATTCAAAAAAAAAAAAAAAAAAGAACTGGCATTCATAAATGACACAAGTGGAGAGCAAAGAGTAACGTGCTTTGTTAGAAGTCAAGATCGCAGCTCACTACCAATAACAAAACCCAAAGAGTTACTGAAAATATCCCTTCCATGTTATTAAACAAAAGATATAATCACTTGAAGACGGAAACAGAGAGAAAATATGAGGAGTGAGATTATTATTATTTCCTAACCATTCTCTAAATTAGTCTAAAGTCAGGAAGAACTTTTTTGGTTTCTGGAAAAGTCTACACAAGAATACCTTTATGACTCTGTAACATCACTGGCACACTTAACAGCTAAAATATCTAATTATATGGAGCATGCATGGGTGGCTCAGTCAGCTAAGAGTCCTACTCTTGATTTCGGATCAGGTTATGATCTCAGGGTGGTAGGATGGAGCCCCACATCAGACTCTGCGCTGAGCATGGAGTCTACTTGAAATTCTCTCCCTCTGCCTCTCCCCCCACCACATGCACATTCTCTCTCAAAATAAATCATTCTTTTTTTTAAAATCTAATTATGCAATTTTTTTCAGCATCTTTGGTTTTTTCCCCCTTTATTTTATGCATTTAGTTGCATTTAGATTGGCACTTTAATGCTTTATTAATTAAAACCTGCATTGTATTTATCATCTTATAATCCGTACTAATACTTCTGTCTCTGAAATGTACCCTGATGTTCCAGGTTCATGAATTCTCAGACCTTTTCTGAAACACCGATATTAGCATCAGCACTATAGTATTAAGTGAAGGAAAGTCTAAAAGTACCTGGTGTGGGGCTGGGCACTTGGAGACAGAGCACTGGTACATTCAGACACAAGCCAACAAACCCTCTTACTGTGTTAGCCAGTCTGAGGAGGTTTTCTATACCTGCAGCAGAGCACACCCCATCCAATACACATGCCACTTACCAGGCTTGCTTCACCTTCACCTCCTGAGGAGACACATACTTGGGTCTCCGGCAAACCTTTCTGACCGTACCATAGACCAGGTTTTTCTGAACAAACACTGGAGAAACAAACAAACAACAAAAACACCAAATGTATATAAACACATGGGATAGCACTGTTTCAAATGGTTGGAAAATGTGTAAAGCCTATATTCAGTCTGTTAAAAAAAAATAAGGCAATTTTCACATTTCAAATATTCACAAAGAAAATAGGTATCCTTAGGAGACTGAATTTAATGAACACGTGAATGATGAGTAATTGACATATCAATTATACATGAGTACCTTTAAATTGTTCCTTCCAATCTTGTTTAAACTATTATTTTGCTTAGCAATTTTTCCCAACTTGGATATGAAAAAGCTTCAGCTCAGCCTGAGACCAAATTACATCTTGAGTCAGTGGGATTTAGAGTTAATATAATAATTTTACTCTTATGACTTTTTGAAATTTGACTAAACTGACTCTGTGGCAGTATTTCTCAATCCTTTTAAACCTGTACCATCTTTAACAAACAAAATTATTGGGGCAACCTGGGTGGCTCAGTGGTTTAGCACTACCTTCGGCCCAGGTTGTGATCCTGGAGACCCAGGATGGAGTCCCACATCAGGCTCCCTGCATGGAGCCTGCTTCTCCCTCTGCCTGTGTCTCTGCTTCTCTCTCTTTCACTCTGAGTCTCTTATGAATAAATAAAATCTTTTAAAAAAAAATTCTTGCCCCATGCCCACCCCCCAAGATCCTCAGGTTCATCCTTAAGGTGGAGGGGACACTGACCCTCGAGCTGAAAAATCACAAATTCCTATGAGCGAGATTATGTGTCCCTAGTCACCAGGAAAACCCTATCTTTCTGTACGGAGAGTAAAAACCAGTTTCTTTCATTTAAAAAACATTTTAATATTAATTAGTAAATGTCTGTAACTTATGTTACTGCATTTCAGCTCAAACTGTGTGATCATCTAGGTGTGTGTCCCTCATGCTGTAGCCCAGATGGTCATCAAGATCAGGACTCCCAGAGATCCCCCCACATTCTGATTAGGAGCCCACACACCAGACATACATGGCTACAAAGCCCTACTGTGGTCCACCACTCAACTCCCATCAATAATTAGTATACTTACAAGGGGTTTTTACTGGCCTCTTGAGTGACATCATGATGAACTTAAATGGGCTTTCACTGGTAAAACTTCAGGATATGCAAATTGGCTAAATAAATGTAAGACCCACTCCCTAGCCTTCTGTGGACAGGAAAAAGTGAGACCTTTTCCCTAATTTACCCTTACCAGAGACACATTAGGCTAAGTACCTAAACAACCTTGACCTTGGGGATTCCGCCCATCTGATGCCAGCTAACAGATGTCAGAGTTCTGCCTCTGGAATCTTGGCATTGGCAGTGGCTTTGAGCAATGCTTGTGACAAAGGTCTCTCAAATGATAGCGCCAAGTCTTCCTCAATCCTACAGAACCAACCATTTCACCTGTTGTGTTTCTTAACTGTACTTGTTTCCTAATATTTGGTTCATAAATGTGTCTGGCAGATTTGCTGTGTCTGCTTGGATTTGCTTTCACTACACGTCACACAGTGAGACAGGAAGCTAACTCACCTCAAACTACTTCTGTGACTGCTATTATCCACTACCAACAAAAAGAACTGTGCCTATCCATGTGGTCCCGGGTCAGTGTGGGGTGAACACACTTTTTCTTGCAGTTTGCAAAAAACGGCATGCACGTTGCTCTCTCCCACTCTTATTCTGTTTCTCTGTTATGTCCCCTGAGGATGGGGCCTAGAGGTTGAGAATGATAAAGCTTGCGTCTGACAATTCTGGTTTTGATATTTTCCAGATACTTAAAAGAAGTATTTCAAACAGTTGCCAGCAGCAGTCAGATTGGTGCTAGGTGTATAGACTTGACCCTCACGTCGCTTGCTGTCCCCTTGCATGCACTTGTACCTATCACACTGTGGACTACAAACCACCTGACCTACGGCTAGTGTTCCTGAGCAGATGCTAAAGGTAGGTAGGCAGGTCTCACTGCAGAGCAGAAGAAACTTTTAAGTACTCTGTAAGGGCACACTGAGGCGGCAGAGATTCCACCTTCAGCAAGATGATCAGCACTCCAAAACCATAGCAGGCAGGTAAAGTGGTTTTAGGATAATTCACCACATACAGTTTTCTGCCCTCCACATAGAAGAAGGTCCACAAAAATAGAGAAAACAGTAAACCATATTTAAAGGAATGCCCAGTGAATTCTCTCAAAAGGTTCTGAACATTCAGAAGGATTCAGAGTTAAAGAGAGCTAGACTGATAAATCCATGAGGAAATGGCTTAAGAGAAGCCACAGAAAAAACTAAAACTTAAAAAAAAAAAAAAAATCCTCCTAAATCAGTCTCTTAGATGAACTGAACCAAAGGTTATGGGGCCTGTTTCTGTCTGCAAAGGCAACCAGGACAAGTCACTTAAAGTCCAGTATCAGGACACCACAAGTACAGGATAATCTGCTTCTAGCAACTTTTAATGAAAGTGTGTGTCTAGCACGCATCCAATCTGTAGCCCACCTAAGCCACAGGTGCTGATTGAGAAGTTGATGTGGAGCCAAGATGCTGGGGGGATGAGGCGGGGTGCACAGCATAACAGTTATGACACTGGTCAGGGACTGAGGTTAACCTAAGACCACAGGGACTCATCGATGGCCTACGGGACCACCACCACCGCACACATGCAGACCCCACCTGTTCCCCCAACCCTCTCAGGCTCCTCTCTCCTCACCAACCCCCTCCCTGGGCAGTTTCTCTTTTATCCCACAGAGCTGGCATCATCTGTTTAGTTTGTCTCCCTTTCCAGGTGAGCAGCTCTTCAGGAGCAGGGATCATCCTGTCCTTTTCCATCCTGGCCCTCAATGTGTACATGGAGCTTCTACAGGGTGAAGGCAGAAAAGACAGAGCCAAGAGATGGCCAAGCCCTGCTCGGTGAGGGCAGTGTGTCAGGAAGTACCTTTGAAGTCTAACTCGTATTTGTGCTTTCCAGCCTGGAACTTCAGAATGGCTGCCTGGGCGTCAGAGCCTGGTGCACAGTACGCCAGGTAGGCCTTCTCCAAATCACTGCTGTTGACGGCAGTCACAGGGTGCTCCATGCCCTGTGAGGGAAAAGCCAGATACTTCGTGAAGGCAGGAACCTACAATGATGAAGAAAGCTGCCAGGTGCGATCCACACCACACTGCAGACATGCCCATGGTGGATATCCATGTTTGGGGGGAGGCTGGGGAGTGAGTGAGAAGAGCCAGGGAGCAGGGGTGTGGCAGGAGAGGGAGGCATGAAATAGAAGCCAACACGAATGTCTCCTAAAAGCTGCCCAGGAAAATAGTAAATGCAGGTCCAGCTAGCCAGATGGTAGCAAAAGAAGAGAGAGCATTCAAGTTATTCATAATGGATGACACAATCATTCGAATGAAGGTAAATGCCAAAACTGAGTTCTCCAATCCGCATGGAGGGATGGCCTGACACAGCTGCCTCTTCCCTATCCATTCTTGTACCCACCATCCTTCAGAGCTCAGGCCTCCTCTGTGTCCTTTTCCTGGGCCCGTGGAGAGCTCTTCTATTTCTGAATTGCCCATTTTGATCCCACACCTTCTCTCCAATTACCTATAGAACATCTAAGATTTCAGGATGGACTGAGTTTGAATTCTGGCTCCTCTACAACCATGGTAAGTTATTTTAACCTCTCTGAACCTCAAGATCTCAACAGAATGGTAATAGGAACAGTAACAAACTTACATCATACCCCTATCATGATATAAGAGTACATAGCACCGTGCCTAGAACAAAAAGCAAAGATGCCACAGAAATACCAGGCAGGTATCTAGATAGACCAGTCTGAACTTCGAAGAGGAATCTGGTCTGGAAACAGAGATGTAAAGATCACTTAAGGTGGCTGCTAACATCAGAAGAATGGGGGCATGGGCTGGACCCTGGGACACCCCAACATTCATGAAGGGAAGTAGAAAGCATCAGTCCATGAAGGAGATGGAGGAGGAGCAAGACAGCCAGGTGAGAAGGGAGTGCACAAAGGCTGGAAATGCCATAAGATTTGACACCTGGGCCCTTGACCCTCCACCAGCATATACAGCACAGTGGGGGCTATGCCCGGCAGGATCCCACCTCCTGCAGGCACTCTATGAGAAGTGACTAGATAAACAAGTAACAATGATGGCAGATTTGGGTCTGGCTAGTGGAGGAATACACAGGGGTCTTACCTTTCAAGTAGAGATGGATGTGTTGTTCAGGTACAAAAAGGTGAGGGCAGTTGTAGAGGTTTTAGATCAAGGCAAAGAAGATCACAGGAAAGGGAAAAAAAATGCAAAAGGCCAATCGACATAAGAAGCCTGTTGTGGATGGTTCAAAGAGGATACAGGTCAGGGTTAAGGCATCCTGGAACCCAATACCTCAGGGATATCAAGTTTAACACAGGAAAATTCAGTGGCCAAGAACAGTAATACCTTAGGTTACAGACTGAGCTGTGCCACCCCCTTTGCCTAAAAAGATAAGTTGAGATCTTGATCCTAGTACCTCAAAACTTGACCTTATTTAGGAAAAGGGTCACTGCAAATGTGATTAGTTAAGATGTGATCATACCAGAGTAGGATGGACCCCTCATCCACAAAACCCATGTCCTTATGAGAGAACGGCCACGTGAAGGCAGACACAGGGAGAAGGCCAGGTGATGACAAGGCAGAGACTAGACTGAAGCACCTACACACCAGCGAGGCCACCAGAAGCTAGGATGAGGCAAGTAGGATTCCTAACAGATTTCAAAGGGAATGTGGCCTTGCTGACACCTTGACTTCGATTTGCATCCAATTGTAAGGCAATAAATCACTGTTGTTTCAAGCCACCTAGTTTGTGGTACTTTGTTATGGCAGCCTTAGGAAATTAATATAGGGCAAAGGCAATTTGGACCTAAAACTGGGCTGTACATTCTGAGCTCAGACAGGAAAGAATCTAGTTTCCCTGAATCAAAAGAACATGGTCCTAAACTGGCAATTAGCAGAAAACTAAGAGATAAATCCAAATATGGGGTGACACCAGAAGTGTGTGGGAAAAGAAGAGATAGAATGGACAGGCCACCCTAGGAGAAGATCCAGTCGATGGTACCAAATGAGACCACACATGTGCACCTGCACTCCACCATCAAGTGGTGCATCAATGATACCCAAATACGGGTCATTCCCAGAGATTTTCACTCTTCTAAATGAGGTTATACATTCTGACTATACTGCAAGAAGTAGCAGCCTAGACAAGAAAAAGGAAAGCCCTAAGTGTGGGTGTTTGGTGGAGAAAGGACCCCACCTTCTAAAACTGTGACAATCCAGTTTTGCAAAGTCACCTAGGGAAGCATACTTTTGCATAAGTTGACTATAGGGTCTATAAGTGTCATCCCACTCATCTCCCCAAGAAGTGGGACAAATCAGAAAACAAAACATGAGAAGTCGTCACATTTGCTAAGTGCTTCTCGCCTGCCATGGGTTCCTTCATGATGTCACCAGGTAAGCCCCATTCACAGAGCATAATCAGCCCCACATTCACTCCTGCTCAATACCAGGTATGGCCTCTCCTCTCCTGCTTCTGATCAAACCAAGAGCAACGCCGGGGAGTCTCCTTGAATAAATCCACATGGCAAGGAAGGTGGAAGAAGCCCCAGGATGCTCAAGAGGGGGAGATGGGTGGGAAAGAAGACAGACAGAACAGCTAATGAGAAAAGGCTAGCCATGGAGGACACGGAGGGGAAGCAGATGAGAGCGGAAGTGAGGCCCCTGCTGAGAATGACCACGTCCAATCAACCAGAGGGCAGCTATTACTCTGTTCTTCAGCCAGCCAGTCTATGCCCTGAGGACCTGCTAGGCGCAGGCACTGTCCTCCACACAGGGGCACATCGGTGACACAAGAGACAAAACTCTCTGCTCTCATGCAGCTCTAATTACAGTGTTCCCAGAGAAAAAGAAATTCCAGGTGCAGATAAGAGTAAGAAACCAAAGCTTTAATATAGCCTCTTACAATCCAGACAGTATAAATGTCTATCAGACCACATATCCCAGTTTCCAATTGGGAAAGCTGTCCCTATAGACATGGTGACCTCCCGATACCTCTACAGATCAAGGGGCTCCCTTCAATCTGATCCAGCCAGGAACGTCATCAAATTATTGACAGCAGCAGTTATTAGATCCAGATTCCAAATCAATACCTGAAATAAATCCATTTTCTTACACTGGCCCATGTTCTGTGGACTTGCTGCTACACAGAAGGCAGAAAAGCCAGCTTCAGAAAGTCTTAAAGTTTATTATGCAGCTACACAAACTCTCCTGCCCACACAGGCACTTGGTCTGGAGTTACCTATTCAACAGTAAGAGAAGCATCTTTCTACTCCATTTAATAAAACCAATGAAGAAATGTCATCTCACTGTAATTTATAGTAATTTAGTTCTCATGGAGCCAGCAAGATACCTAATCATTCAAAGACACAACCTCATACAAAGGAACAAGTTAATAGTTAGTAGTTAGTTTTGCCCTAATTTCCCTAAAGCAAATGAGTCACAGTGGGACCTGGGGATCTTTGGCTCTATCAAGGACTCTCCAGAACAACCCTTGTGCTCATGTCTGGAATGGCTCCTCCATCATGGACCCTTAGCAGAAAACATTTGCCCTCTTTCTGTGACACTTACTTGTTTTCCATATTCCTGCCAAGAGCCAAACTCATCGGTCCAGTACCAAACCCAGTCAGTGGTGAGGATGAAGTGTGGAGGTTTAGTAACTGAGGAGGCTGTGGAGAGGCGGCGGGCTGGGGCAGCGCCGAACATCATGGAGTCAAAGTCTAGACAATCAAAGTGAAAGTTGCTGGCTGACTCAGCACACAGGATCCTGCAGAAGAACATGAGAGGTAAACTGAAATCTCCACCAGCCAAGTGAATACTCAGGTTCCACCTGTAGTCTTGTAGATGCTCAGCTGGTGGATGTGAACATAAATGTGACACTCCTTAAGGAAAAAAAAAAAAAAAGCTTCCAAGTGGGAGGAGGAGAGGACAAGCTGGTTCTTACTAAAACAAGAAAAATATTAATAAAATTAATAAACCTCTGTAAGACGAATCAAGAAAAAAAGGAGAATATTAGAAATACAGAAGGTGGGACCCCTGGTTGACTCGGTGGTTGAGCCTTCAGCTCAGGGTGTGATCCTAGAGTCCCAGGATCGAGCCCCACCTGGGTTCCCCGCTAATCAGGGAGTCTGCTTCTCCCTCTCCTTCTGCCCCTCCCCCTGCTTGTGCTAATAAATAAAATCTTAAAAAAAAAAAAAAGGCCAAATATTCCAAACATTCACTCATGCTTAAAGTGAAACACTTAATAATTACTCCTTCTAAAATCAAGGGGAAAAGGAAAAAAAGATAATATTCCAGCTATCACTACTTCTATTCAGCATGGCATGGGAGGTCCTAGTCACGGTAACAAGAAGTAAAATGAATAAAAACAAACAAGAATAAAAAAAATTAAAATGCTACTCACAGATATTAATTTCTAGATAAGTAGAATATATAGATAACTATACAGGAAATTCAAATGAATTATCAGTAGTCTTCTGAGTTAAGGTATTTTAGCAAAGTTGCAGAATACAACTGTTGACAAAAGTCAACTGCGTTTCTATGTATCAGCAGAGAGAAAACAAATTTCTTTTACTGGGGGTATAAACATGACAACTATAGTTAACAATGTTTTATAGTATATTTAAACTTTGCTAAGAGAATAAATTCTCAAAGTTCTCATCATAGAAGAAAAAAGTGTTTTTTTAACTGTATGAAGTGAGGGAGGTTAGCTAAATTTACTGTGCTAGTCATTTTGCAATGTATACGTAGTCAAGTCACTATGCGGCACACCTTAAACTTCTACAGTATTGTGTGTCAATTATATCTAAATATAAGTGGGGGGGAAAGGATTTCTCTAGCAAAAGACATCAAGATCTTAATGGAGAAATTACAGAACTACTAAAAGATATTTTTAAAAATTTAAATAAATTAGATGCTATTATGTATATGAAGACACAGTCTGAGCATCACTATGATGTCAGTTCTCCCAGGACTGACAAGAGTCAATTCAATTCTAATTTCAAAAATCGCAATGGAGATAAGCCAGTGAGATTTAAAAATTCCTAAAGAGGAACAAACTACCAAGGGCTCAGGCAGTTCAAAGACGGACAAAATAGGGGTATGCCTCACCAGAGGCCAACACTTACAATAAAGCTCCACCAGGTGACAGTGTGGCAGTGACAGACAAACCAATGAAAGAGAAGAAGCCAGGAACACACTTGGATGTGTTTGCTAATTCAGCACCTGCCTGGAGTGGCACTGGAAGTAGGTGGAGGACGGATGGCCTACTTAAACAAGCGATATTTGGCACATGAGTCTCAAAATAAGCTATAAAAGGTGGCAACATTTTGCCAAATTTGGCTCCGTTTTGCCGTTTTGATGGATTTAAAAATAATCACTTGTAACGAGTGGTGGGGACAGCCACACAACAATGTAAAATGTGCTTAATGCCACAGAAATGTACCCTTAAAAATGGGTAAGATGGCAAATTTTATGTTATGTATGCATTACCACAATTTAAATTTTTTTTAAATAAACATGTTTTTAAAAAGTAGTTTTGGTAAAACTGGTTAATTCATCTGCATAAGAATGAAACGGGACCCATACTTCACGTGACCTGCAGTGAAAGATGAAACACAGTGCTTAAAACATTAAGACTTTTTAAAGAAAATTCAGAAAAATTTCCCAACAGTCTTGGGATAAAAAAGGCTTTCTGAGGACTCAAAAATTATAAAACCATAAAGGGAAAGATGGATAAATACTTCTCTATATTAAAATATACCATAAGTTGGCAGGAAGAGTTTATTTTCAAGGCACATTTAATATCCAGAAATTTAAAGAATTCCTAAAACTAGGGATGCCTGGGTGGCTCAGCGGTTGACCGTCTGCCTTTGGCTCAGGGTGTGATCCTGGGATCTGGGGATCGAGTCCCGCATCAGGCTCCCTGCGAGAAGCCCGCTTCCCCCTCTGCCTATGTCTCTGCTTCTCTCTCTCTGCGTCTCTCATAAATAAATAAAATCTTTAAAAAAAAATTCCCATAACTAAACACCCAACCTTTACCTCAAAAGAACAATCAAACTACAAGGACAGACATTTTAAAGGAAGCACAAATGGCCCATAAACATGTGAGGAGACATCTTACCTCATTAGGACCCAGAGATATGCAAGTAGAGCTACCACTTTACATCCCCAGGCTGGGAAAAGTTCAGACGGCAAATAAGACCAACATTAGGGAGATTGTCAACACAGACTGTGAATGGTGGTGGAAAGCAGGCAACCATCATTTTGGAAACAATTGAGCATTACCTGGCAGAGCTGAAGATGGCCCCAGCCTATCTTCTGGCAGTCTCATCCCTGAACACCTGGCCCAGAGAAGCCCACACACATGTGCCAGGATACCAGCACAACTTGACAGAGTCCTGAGAACAGTGTGCTGAGCAGAAGGCACTAGATGTGGTGGTAGAGAGTATATGGCTCCATTTAGATGGGGTTCAACAAGCGAGATTAATCTGTGGTGACAGATGTCAGACCAATGGTAGCCCATGGAGTGGGCACTGATGGGAAGGGGACAGGAGGGGACTTTCTGGGGTGATGAAGATGATCTCTATTTGGATAAGAACGTCCACTACATGACTGCAAGCATCTGTCAAGACTCAGTGAACTATACAATTATTATCTGTGCACTTCCCTGTGTGTAAATTCTGCCTCAGAAAAAGAGATAGGGGAATATGTGAGCCAATTCATTTTCCAAAGGGGAACAATTTGTTTCACATACTTTAGCAGTAGCAATTTGTGCAAAATTGCACTCTAAGCACAAATTTATTTTTTCCACTTAAAAAAGTAGGCTTAAATTTTCTTCTTGGCAACATATTTTAGCAAGTTCAATCCATAATATGAGAAGTATTTGAAACTAAGGCTTCCCAGGACTTGCCAATTTACTCTAATATGACTAAGTGAAAACAGTGGGACACACTTAGAAAAATTGAAAAGTTAAAGGCCGAACAATAAACAGAAGGTCAACTCAGGACTTCTCATGTAAAAGCTAAAATTTCACAAATGACTGCCTCTCGCTTTTCTGCAGTAATCGATGTAGATATATGTACATGATCAATGCCAGCAGCAAATAACTCAAAACTTACATGGTACCACCATCGCCTTTCCCCAGAGCTCCTCCCTAAAGGAGAGAAAGGTGGGAAAATAGAGGCACCAAACCAGAGTATCAACACTCACTTCCAATTTCCAGCCTAGAGCTTTCAGCTCCAGACCAGGCTGTTTACTGGTGTGTGTGTGTGTGTGTGTGTGATCAAACCTCAACTCTGTTGTGTCCAAACTCCCCACACTACACACAAAAGCCCTGACACACAGCAGACACAAGTGATATATTTCATACCTGTCTTTTCTGGGATCGCTATATGCCTCTTCAATAAGCTCCATTTTATCCAAATCCTTCCACTTGCCTCTGTCCAAGAACTGCCATCGATATGGTAAATGGAAATGAACTTTATTGCACTTATCTAAAATAAGAATATAAGGAAATAAGACACCTTACATAGCATGACCTAGTTCTGTGGTTCTCAATGAGTGTGGTGCTGCCCACTGATGTGGGAACACTCTAGAAATCTGTGGAGAAGTCATTTTTAGGGCAATCATCCTGAACATCTAAATATTGAAATACCATGTGTCTTATTATACACACTTTTCTTTTATATCTCCCCTTTAACAGGACATTACATCAATTTTTAAAAACATATTGGTAGGTTACATTATGTGTGAGTTTCATCTCATGAGTAAAAAAGCTGATCGTGTAAAGGCCAATCAGGAGGCAGTCGGATGACTGCCTCCTGATTATCACTGGGCATGCAGCATGTGGACAAGTGGTGGTCATACCAAAAACAGAGGCAGATTCATCTCTACTAGAAACCCATACAAACCCTGACACATCTGACCACAGGTAAGTCAGGAGCATAGTTCTAGCCCATTTTGATCTTCTGGCTAACATACTCACCACCTCAACACAACCCCACATCCCTAGAGGTGTTTATACACACTGCCCTGCCCCTGCCAAAATACACAGAATGGCCCCACCCTCCAGTTCCCTGCCAGTTGCTCCCCCTACATCTTCCTTGTGCTCCCTAGCACCTCTGTCACTCCTCACACATCCTGCCAGCCTTGCCTTGGCTCATGCCAGCCCCTCACCCAACACTTTTCTCTCTACCTCTCAGTATCTTATACAAGGTTCTGGTACAAACTCCAGAGAGGAAAGGCAGACTGGAAAAAAAAGCAAGAGGAAGCTCTCTGCACCCTGAAATAGACCCACTTTTAAGGTATATGCTATTAGGTAAAAAGACAGACAACAAGGTGCAGAATGCCTCTATTTGTGGGAAAAAAAAAAGAAGAAGAAGAAAAAGTAGAGCTACTCTGACTGAGCACATATATACACACATATTATTCCTTGAAGAGAGGAAGTGGGTCACCAGGGACAAAGTTATGAGGAAATATTTCTGTTGTTTTCTATGTCTTTTGAATTTTGAACCACAAGAACACATTCCAAAAAAATAAATGTCTACGTAAGTGAAAAAAGATACAAAATAGTGTGCATAGTGCACCTATGTAAGAAGGAAACCCACCAGAAATATATACTTGTATATATACATGAAATATATACATGTATAACATCTTCATGGAAGGACAATCAAGGAACTAGTAACAATGATTGTTTCGGGGGGGGGGGAGCTGGGTGCTAGAAGAAAGAGGTATGAGGGAGACATTTCTTACTGGTTGTCCTTTGTGCTTCTTTAATTCATCTTTCAAAACAATGACAATGAAGTGGCTAATTTGACACTTGAAAAAATTAAAATTTTCTGAAGTTGTATGTAGGTGCACCTGGGTGGCTCAGTCGGTTAAGCATCTGACCCCTGATTTCAGCTCAGGTCATGATCTTGGGGTCATGGGATTGAGCCCAGTGGGGTTCCATGGAGAGCTGGCTTGAAAGATTCTCTCCCTTTGGCCCTCCCCTGACCTTGCATGCATGCATGCATGCATAAATAAATAAATAAATAAATAAATAAATAAATAAATAAATAAATAGTAATAAAATTATATGCAGCCTTTCAGGCACATCTCAATGCCATTTCTTTTCCATAGATTCTACCTTGGACCATGGAGGAAGGTGGGCAGGTTGACTGGGCTTGTCAAAGGCCAAGCCTGAGACTAGGCAGAGCAGACAAGAACACCCAGCCAAAGGATACAAAATCAATGCATAGAAATCAGTTGCAATTCTCTACACTGAGACTGAAGAAAGAGAAATTAAGGAAGCAATCCCATTTACAATTGTACTCAAAAGCATAAGATACCTAGGAATATACCTAACCAAAGAGGTTAAAGGTTCTGTACTCAATAACTACATAACACTTATGGAAGAAATTGAGGCAGACACAAAGAGATGGAAAAACATTCCAAGTTCATGGATTGGAGGAATAAATACTGTTAAGTGTTTAATAATAAATGTTATTAAAATGTCTATGCTACCCAGAGCAATTTACATTTAATGCAATCCCTATCAAAATACCATGGACTTTCTTCACAGGGTTGGAACAAATATTCCTAAGATTTGTATGGAACCAGAAAAGACCGTGAATAGCCAGATGAATGTTGGAAAAGAAAAACAAAACTGGGGGCATCACAATGCCTGACTTCAAGCTGTATTACAAAGCTGGGATCATCCAGACAGTATGGTACTGGTACAAAAACAGACACACAGAATAATGGAACAGAATAGAGAACCCAGAAATGGACCCTCCGCTCTATGGTCAACTCATTTTCGACAAAGCAGGAAAGACTATCCAACAGAAAAAAAGACAATCTCTTTAATAAATGGTGTTGGGAAAATTGGGCAGCCACACACAGAAGAACAAAACCAGACCATTCTCTTACACCATAGACAAAGATAAACTCAAAATGGCTCAAATATCTAAATGTGAGACAAGAATCCATCAAAATCCTAGAGGAGAACACAGGCAACAACCCTTCTGAACTTGACCACAGCAACTTCTTGCAAGATACATCTAAAAAGGCAAGGAAACAAACGCATTAAAGTACTGGGACTTCATCAAGATAAGAAGTTTCTGCACAGCAAAGGAAACAGTCAACAAAACTAAAAGCCTACATAATGGGAAAAGATATTTGCAAATGACATATATGATAAAGGGTTAGTATCCAAGATCTATAAAGAACTTAACAAACTCAACATCCCAGAAACAAATAATCCAGTCAAGAAATGGGCAGAAGACATGAACAGACATTTCTCCAAAGAAGACCTACACATGGCCAAGCATATTAAAAAATGTTCCACATTACTTGCCATCAGGGAAATTAAATCAAAACCACAATGAGATACCACCTCACACTAATGAGAATGGCTAAAATTAACAAGACACGAAACAAATGTTGGTGAGGGTATGGAGAAAGGGGAACCCTCTTGCACTGTTGGTGGGAATGCAAGCTGGTGCAGCCAATCTGGAAAATAGTGTGGAGGTTCCTCAAGAAGTTAAATTAGAGCTACCCTATTATCCAGCAATTGCGCTACTGAGTATTTACCCCAAAGATACAGATGTAGTGAAACAACAGGACACCTGCACCCCACATGTTTATAGCAGCAATGTCCACGACAGCCAAACTATGGAAGGAGCCATAATGTCCTTCATCAGATGAATCGATAAAGAAGATGTGGCATACATATACAATGGAATATTACTCAGCTATCAGGAAGGATGAATACCTACAATTTACACTGACATGGATAGAACTGGAGGGTATTAGGCTGAGTGAAATAGGTCTATCAGAGAAAGACAATTATCATATGGCTTCACTCATATGTGGAATTTAAGAAACAGTGAAAGGGACCATAAGGGAAGCAAGGAAAGTGAGTGGCAAAAAATTAGAGAGAAAGGCATACCATGAGAGACTCCTAACTCTAGGAAACAAAGGGTTGCAGAAGGGGAGGTCAGTGGGGGAATAGGGTAACTGGATGATGGGCATTAAAGAGGCCACATGATGAGATGAGCACTGGGTGTTATAGTATATGTTGGCAAATTGAATTTAAAAAAAATTTAAAAAAAAAAAAGAACACTCAGCCAAGATGATTCAGGGAATAAGAGAGACTCCAAACAACAAAAAAAATCCCCAAGTTCACGAAGGCTGGGTTCAGCCACTCTTGGGACTGAACTTACCCAGAGTTAGAGCAAGCCACACCTCTTGGACTCTACCAGGGTATATAAAATAGAATGATAATGAAGGGTCCAACCTGGAAAGATAAGGCTACAGATATGGTCCAGAGGTCACAACCAGATTAGATTTCCTGTTCCCTCCCTGAAGGGCACTAAGGGAATGATCAGGATTAATGTCAGTTTTCAGTCACTGCACCTATACACCCCAGCTCAGGTGAGTCCTGGACAGGCTGAAGAAAGACTCTCCCCTTAGAAGGCCCCCATCAGAGAAAGCATACCACCCATTGCCTTCCAGGCTAACACTTCCTTGGGAAGGACACAGGGGCCAAGGGAAGGCACTGTAGTCAAGAACTGGGGGCTCCAGTTCTTAATGTGAGCTCAATGTGGAGCCCATATCACTCACCAGACAGAAGGCGCCCAATAAAAGAGGGTGCAATGCAGGCCGCCAGAGCCATGGTGGCTGGCGAGAGCAGAGTCCCAGATGATGAGGCCCCTTCTCTGCCTTTCCTGATCCTCTTATCCCCTTTCTCAATTTCCTTTCCCTCCTTCCTAGAATCTAGGCTTTCTGGAAGGTGAGTTGCAAAAACCAAATTAATTTGGGAGACAAAAATACTACATCCACATCCCCTTCCTCCCCACATCACTTGAAATGACAGGCTGGAGAGAAGAACACATCTAAAAATGCTGGAAAACAATAAATAGTGCCATCAAAAGATTAGATTATTGATTCCACTGATTTCATCTATTGATCTATCCTATTGATTTATTCTAAAATATGAAGCACACAGAATCAAACTGACTGAGTTAAAGACAGAAAAACACATGTAAAATACATAGAAGTGGACCTTCTGGAAGTGGGAAGTATTGAGGGGTCCTTAACAAACTAAGAGTTACATGTAACAAAAAGCAAGAAAGACACCTGGTCAGTCCCAATGAGAGTAATTCAGACCCACCCACTAGAACAGGCACTCCCTCCATGCCCTGCTTGTGCCCCACAACCTTGCTATTTTCCCCAAGGAACACGGGAGTGTGGACAGATGTGGAGAGAGAAGCATGTAAGAGAGCCATGAAAGCCCCCACCCCACTCCAAGGATACATGCCAGCAGCCTATACCACCAAACAAAACATGCTGCCTCTTCTCCATTAAGCCTGGGTCAGAATCTGCATGACCAGCAGACACCAGGATTCTCAAGGAGACCACCAAGAGTCACCCAACACATGAGGAAAAATGGAAGCTAACTCACACAGAAGAATCAATATCCAAGGAATAATTATTAGGGTAAACAGCTCAAGTAACAGACCTAAACATAAAAGTGAAACCTATAAAACTTCTAAGGAAAAAAAAAAAAAGCATAGAGCCACTTTTAGAGGCTTGGAACAGGTAAAGATTTTTCAGACACAAGAAACAAACTACAAAAGAAAAAGATACTAAAACAATCATCAATAGTGTAATTTTTATTCAAGACACCATAAAGAAAATGAACATGAAAGAGACAGACTGGGAGAATATATCTTCAATACCTGTATCTGACAATGAATTGTATAAATAATACTCAAAACCCTCAGTAATGAGAGATCAAACAATCTAATTAATAAATGGGCAAAATTGTACAAAACACCACGTATTGTGATTCCATTTACATGAAACATCCAAGCAAATCCATAGATACAGAATGTAAACCTGTAGGTGCCCTGGGGGAGAGGGAGAGAATGGGTGGAGTCTGCTAATGGGCACAGCATATCTTTGGGGGTGACTAACTTGATAATAGCTGCACAATTCTGTAACTAAACTAAAAACTATTAAATGGGTGAATTGTATACGAATTATACTTAATACCTCAATCAAACTGTCATATAGAAACCAGCAGAAAATTTAAAGATATTTCACAGAAGATACACAAACGGCCAGTAAGTACATGAAAAAAATTAAATATCATTTTCATAAAAATAAATGTAAATTAAAACCACCATGAGATATCACTACTCATTAATTACAATAGCTAAAGTTTAAAAGACTGACAATACCAAGTGTTAACAAGAACACAGAGCAATGAACTCTCAGACATTGCCAGTAGGAAGGTATACCCACTTTGGAAGATAGGGGCCATTTCTTATAAAGTTAAACACATACTTACACATTCCAGTAATTCCACATCTAGGTCTTTACTCAAGACAAGTGAAAACAGATATCCGCAAGAAAACTTGTACATAGGTATAAAGACTCTATTTGTAAAAGCTAAAAACTTAAAACCCGTCACATAATGGATAAACAAATTGTAATCAATCCATGCAACACAATACTATTCAGCAATAAAAAAAAGAGCTAACTACTGATTTGCCAACCTGGACAAATCACAAAGGCATGCTGAGTGAAGACAGGGACAGAAGAATGCATGCTGTATGTTTCCATTTACATGAAATTCTAGAGAGTGCAAATCTATAGTGACAAAAAGTAGATCAGGGACTGCATGGGGTCAGGAAATTAGGGGGTGAAGATGAATGGTATTGGGACATAGGGACACTTTGAGAATTAGGAAGCTACCATATCTAAGGTGTTATTATCAGAACTCAGTGTATACTTAAAAATGTTAAATATTTAAAATGTCAGTGTGTAAATTATAGCTCAATAATGTTGGCTTTAAAAAGCATACATGTATATATGACACATATATATGCTTGAACTGGCATTCCATTTTCAGGAACCAAGCTATAGAAATACACTTGAGTACTCAGGTGCTCAGTGGAGTATCACTCTAACTGGACACTACAGTTGTTTTTTAAAAACAAGGTGGACTTACACATACTATGGTGGAAAAAAAACTCCAAAACACAATGTTAAGTAATGGAAGCACGCTAAGGAATACCTATCACATATTCCCATCTGTTGAAAAATATGCAAAACAAGCACCATGACCACACGGCATGTGTTTACCTTTGGGGAAGGCTGAAGGAGGACTTCAGACTTTATTCTGTATTATTGGATTCTTTTACAAAGTGAAAGTAGTCCTGAATTGCTTGGGTGGCTTTTAAAAACTGAAAACGAAACAAGAAGTTTGGTGGTTGTTTTTCTAAAAGTCATCAAATTTGAGAAGGAAGCTTTCTTCAGTCAAAGCCCAGGATAACAGTAAGAAGAAAACAAAGGTTTAGTGAAAATACAGACACACATGTACATAAAAGAAATGTTACTTGTGATAAAAAGAGGGACCATGGAAATCCCCAAGAGGTTCTTAAGTTCTTCTTCCCCACCTTAAGTTCTTGTTCCCCAAGAGCACACACAGGCATCTCTTTCTCAGGGAGGGCCTTCTGGCTTCTTGGGGGCATTTCTAAGTCTACAACCACCCTTTACGAGGAATGCTCACATTTGTCACCACTAAATGGGGCATCTGTGCAGATCTGTGACCTCATGCTAGGCTGATCAAGGGTCAACACTTGACACTTGCTGCATGAACCAGTTATGTTCCCAAAAACTCATCTACAGTCTAATTTCCAGAAATTCAATTCCTACCATCCTCAACTCCCCAACAAAATTGCTTCAGAACTGTTTGGCAGAAGTGCCACCCCAGCTCACAATTAAGAAGGCCTCAACCCTCTCTGGATGGGGGAGAGGACCTTGAGGCATGACCTCAGGGCAGAACTCTTAAAACAAGAAGCAGCTGTCCCACCTACAAGTGGATGAAGGGGATTCCTCGAACTTACCTTGAAAGCTACAACTTTTCCGGATATGGTATAAGCAGATCTGATCACTCTCCTCTTGGTTAGCAGTGTTTGGGGACACAGAACCTGAACTATCTCTTCTTTCTATGAAGAAACACCACAAAGAGGTATCAGCATCCATCAAAGCTTCTGATATAGAGTCAGAGTAGTTCAAGATACAAGGAGAGAAAAGTGGGCAAGGGAATCTCACAAAATCCTATGACATTCAGGATGAAATTACCCCATCATGTAAGTGGACCCTCTGTTTTTTAGGGAGGAGCCAGGGAGCCCAACACCATGCAGCTGCTTGCCATGGAGGGGCTCTTTTTTTCCTCAGCTCTGGCTGTGCACCCAACCTTATAATGAAACCTCCTTAAGTAACTTTAGATTAATTATAAGAATTTTAATATATAACAGGCACAGAGGTGATTTCAAAGTTTATCTTTACTAGTAGTGCTTCAATCAGATGTTACCTAACAATTACATTTACCATTGCCCCTCCACCATACAAATACATAAAACTCACTCACAAACCCTCCTTATTCAGTATCACCAGTTATTTTGTTATTCATTTTCCTTTTTGTTTTTATAGGCTCCCCAGACACTCACAGGATGGGCCTCAAAACCCACAACTTGGGGGCCTCTGAGATCACCCCCAAGGGCAGGTATCCTTCCCTCCCTTTCTAGGGCCATAATCCAATTTACACTGTTATTAAAGATCTATTTAAAGCAAAACCTGTCTACACCTAGCTTCCTACTATTGAAAGAAATTAACCTAAAATAACTGAAGATAATGTAAAGAAAAAACATATATGGCAAAAACAATTTTTAAATATAAAAATCAAGTAAGATTAGAGTGTTAAGTTTGTTTGCTGGTAGTCCTAGCACTCATCTGATATTTTAGGAAGTAGTCTATTAAAAATTCTAGATAACCTCTATTAAACATCTATTAAAATCCTACAGCTAACAAATGGTTTGATTGTGCATTCTGGGGTGGTGGGGGTGGGGGCGGACTATGTCCTAGTCTCCAATGTATAACCAGGGCCCAGGCCAGTGGCTAGCACATGGCAAGCATATAAATTTGTTAAGTGAATGAGTGGATAACCAGAATGGCCAGCCAACAGCCAATACTGTGAAATCCAAAGGACACCAATGTGTCATAACCTCTCCAATGGACTACATTATTAATTTCCCACATAATAAGTGAAGAAATGCTTATTTAAGAAGCAATCTCTGCTTAAAACTCCCCCAACTGCTTGTCATTAAACCTGACATTCCTTTAAAAAAAAAAAAAAAAGTATCCTAGCATGCTCGATCACTCAACAAATAAATGTCTGAGTGTGGGCCAGGCACTGGCTAGGTGCTAGAGATGAGCAGTGAACAAAGATATTTATAGGGTCTAAAAGATTCCATTTATTCATGTCAAGAACAGACAAGATTCCATTTATTCATGTCAAGAACAGACCTGAAATTAAAACAGACTTCGTTCACTGCAGATCAGATCTGTCAGGAATGCATTTATAGTAAACATCAATTGGTATTTGTCTAGAATATCTTGCTTGTTCGTGACCATGATTTCAAGTCCTCTTTATAATGCCTACTAGCTGGGAAGGAATCACCAACTGCACTTTTCTAAAAGCAGCACAGACTTGCCCCAGGTCACACACTCTATTAATGGCCAGGTGGAATCACAGGGCCTTACCAGAAGTCCCCTGTGGGCCAGAGGTAGGAGGGTGCCCTCTGCTGGGGGTGGAGCTCTTGTTCTTGATGTCATGAGCATTTCTGTAAATGGAAGGCAGTCTGCTCACCAGATCTGAGCTCATGCCCAACTTCTCCAGTTTTTCCAGATTCTCAGCATTAGAGAGATCATGAGATCTCTTACAGCTAGTGCCAAACTTGCATTCGCCCTGTAAAAAATACTGGCAGATGTGGAGTTTGATACACTGCTTTTGAAAGGAACAAGAGCCGTAGGGTCCATCTCCTTTGTTATAATGAAGGCAGATCTGTTAACAGAAAAAGAAAAAAGCACCAGCTTAGGAAAACCTCACAGGACACCACCTCCCCTCCGGACCAGTCACAGTCGGAGGAGGTTTCTCTAAAGACCTAGCCAAAGCTGTGATCCTGCCATCCTCACAAGCTACACAGCTATGAGAATATCCCCCCAACTCTAGATAGATGGCTAACATATGCCCTTGGATAAAATGGAAACCGGGTGGAAAGCAGACTGTGCAAATCCAAAGAACTTCCAATTTATCAGAACTGCTCCCTTCACAGGAGATGTTTCCATGTAACTCATACAGCAGCATGCTAACAGCCCTTATACTCCACCTACAACCTTCCCCCACTGACTCACCAACTCTCCCTAAGCCAGGTCCCATATACCCATCTTCTTTTTTTCTGAAATTCAGGGTCAAGGAGGTTCTGAGTGTATAAAGTATCTTCGAGAAAGGCCAAATACAGCCCTTTCATTTATCAAGAGCAAACTGAAACTCAGAGAAGTATACCTACTTGCCCTAGGTCACACAGCTATCTACATCTGGTATGCTCAATGTCTGTTGAATTGGACTGTTGGTAAAGCTGGGACTTGAATTTGAATCAACTGCTCCTTTTCTACCTTCCAAATTCCTAGAGATGAGAGCCTGGCCAGAGACCACCAATGGCCTACCCAGGCAATTCAGAGGCATTACACTGAGCAAGAGGTAGAAATGCAACAGAGGGCTGTAGAACAAAGACTTAGATCAGTAAGGACTCTACTCTGGGGATGGAAACCCCAAGGGGAAAGGCCAGACAGGGTTACGCCCTAACCTTGATTTTGCCACTTAGGAGATGCCTGACCTTAGGGAGGCCACTCGCCAGCTCTGAGTTTCAGCTTTTTAATCCCTAAAATGGGAATAATACCACCTACATCACCAGGCTATCATTAAGATTGAATGGGAACTACACAAAATGGCTAATACAAATATCTGGGGTCATAGTGGGTGCTCGATTCACGGTAGCAGCCCCTCAATATTCATCTGATAAGGACCAGACTGACAGCAGAAGGTCAGGCAGGAAAGCTACACCAGGTCCCAGTTTATGGTCACAGCTCCCAGTTGCCGGCACTGTGTTCTGAAGCAACCTGCTTACACAAGTACACAAGAGGCTACACAATCCAGACTGGTCACCTTCTGATTCACTTTTCATACTATTGACAAGATGATCTCTCCAAAACATTACTGCCCACTCTCCAAACACAACCCCCGACCCCAACTCCTTCCCATGATACTGAAGCCTGCATGGATGAGTCTCTACTCCCCCATTTCTCCTTCTCCCCTCTCCCACTCTAAATCCAAGTTGTCCCCTGTATAAATACATTCTGTCCCCTGACCATACCGGTTCTGTCTTCTCTCTGCCCATTTTTCCCAGACCTTCATCCTCCACACGTCCTTCAGCATTCAGAACACACACCATCTACCCTAGGACACCTTCCCAGGCGTCCAAACTGTGCCCCTGAGACCACAGTGCTGACTTTTACTGCAGTATCTAGAAAAGCACCTTGTAATCACATGCTAACTTGTCTGTCTCACCCAAGAAATGCGCCTCCTGGAAAGGCAGAACAGGGTCTTTTATCTCCGTATCACCAGTGCCTCACTCATAGTGGATAGTCAATAAAGGGTAGCTGAATTAAATCAATACCAGTTTTCAAAAAGCAAAAGAAAAAAGTTAATACCTATTATGTGCCAGTCACTAAGCTATATATAGCACCTGTCTCAAATGTGTGGTTTTAGTGGAATAATATGTAGCATTTTCACGAAAACAGGCTAATCTGACCTCTGTAATCTTATCCCAGAAACAGTGTCAGAGCATCCCACAAATCTATGCCGGCCACAGGAACACACCACTCAGATCTGCTGCAGAGTGCAATTAACTCAGCTCAGCTGCTGCCCTCGGGAGCCACCACCTTATTCACACAGAGACCATGCTCCCACCGGCTGCTCCCAGGCAACGATGAGCTACCTTGGCTCAGAATTTCCCACTGGCCAGCAGAAGCTCTCTTGGAACTGTGCTACAGTCAGGGTCTCTTCTTACCCAGTCCCTTCCTTCCCCCAGTCCTGCCACATCACTGCCCAAAAGCTTCCCACTTTCTTCTGCTCCCTCTCCACTAAATCTCCTGCACTTCTAATCCCATCTTGGTGTCTGCTTCTCAGAGGACCCAAACTAGTACATAGCCACTGTAGCGAGGTGCATTATGAGATTATGCATTATGCATTATGCGAATCCACATCAACTAAAGTTCAAAATTCCCTGGGTGTAACTGATTTAGTAGAGAGGGCATCATCTGCCTGTCAGCATCTCTGAGAAGTTTCCTCCTGGGAAAGATGGCCCCTCCTGGGTCTGGCAATAACACAGAGTTTCAAGTCCTGCTAGATGGGGAGGAGCCAACTGGAGTCTCTCATCTCCTCATCCCCATGTAAGGAACATCTTGCTTCAGCCACTGACCAACCAGACTCCCCCAACCTCTAAGAAACCCTGCAAAAGAGGAACCAGTCCCAATGACATAGAAGGAAAGGCGGCTTCTAGAAGGGGCAAGGTTTTTGGCCCAAGGTCACTGGTCTAAAAATCAATAGAGAGCAGCCCGGGTGGTTCAGCGGTCTAGTGCCACCTTCAGCCCAGGGTGTGATCCTGGAGACCCGGGATCGAGTCCTGTGTTGGGCTCCCTGCATGGAGCCTGTCTCTCTGCCTCTCTCTCTCTCTCCTGTGTTTCTCATGAATAAATAGTTTTTAAAAATAAATAAACAAATAAATAAAAAATAAAAATCAATAGAGCCAGGAATTTAATCCAGGTCTCCTCCAAGCAGATCCCATGGTCACTATCAGGTCCTCGGCTTCTCTTCTGCCATATTTCTTATCTTCCAACCTTCTAGCTTCTTCCCCATCACTTACACATATACACACCCCCTCCTGGAACTCACCTCTGGCAAAAGCCAGGGGTCATTCTGAAACAAAAGCAGGCAGAGCTCACTGTAGCTGAGGTGGTCAACACCATGAGTTCTCAGCACACTCAGGTTGTGATCTGTCGTCAAGCTGTGACTGTTTCTACAGTTCTTCCTGCAAAGAAGCAAAGCTGGTGTCACAGTTCCACTGTGCCTCCCCAAAATTCTTATGTTGAAGTTCTAACCCTCCCGTGACTGTATTTGGAGATGATTTTTATACAGAGGTAATCAAGTTAAAAAGAGGTTGCTGGGGTGGGGGGGTCTAATCCAATCTGCTATCTTTATAATAGAGGAGGAAATTAAGACACAGATGCGTACATGTGAAGACAGAAAGAAGATGCCATTTGCAAGACAACGAGAGAGGCTGCAGAAAGAAAGCAACTTTGCCAACACCTTGGTTTTAGACTTCTGGCCTTGAGAATTGTGAGAAACTTCTGTTTAGCCCCCACTCTGTGGTACTTTGGTATGGCCGCCCGAGCAAACTACTACAACTAGCAAAATCAGACTTTAAAATAATTTTTCAGGAACAGTTCTTGACATTGCTTATTAGCAGCACCAGGAAAAACAAAACAAAACAAAACAGCATGTTCATACAATGAAAAACCGCAATGCTTATTTACAAAGGAAGAGAGAACACCTTGCGAGTTCTAGGGCCCAGGACAGCACTTCTTATCAGTATCTGGTAAGAATCACAGGGCCATTCCCCAAAGAAGACTCCCAGTATGCCAGGCAGTGGGCACTTAACAGACACTTAAACAGTGGCTGAATAAACGAGCCTGGACATCTTTGGTTAAAGGTATGTGTATACACCCTGAGGCCCAGCCCTTTTCTCCACTCCCCTCCTCCATCATTTCCATTAACAAGCAAGCTCCCGTTGAACATACATAGTGAGCCAGGCACTGGCACCACGCCCTGATGATCCAAAGACTTCAAATGATCGCCCGGGTCACCAGGACCCGGAAAAGTCAGGCACATATCATTTGCTTTACTCAGACGCTGCCAAACCTCAAAAGTCATGTTTATTTTAAGCGTTCCAAAAGAAAGCTGAACCCCTGATTGACTTCCCCAAACCAGCACCTTCCACAGGCTCCCTTATCTCAGTAAAAGACAACTTCTCTCTTCCACTGCACAGACCAACAACTTTGGGAGTCATTTGGCCTCTTCCTCTGATCTCCTCTAGTGGAAGTGACAGATACGGAGAGGACTCTAAAATAGTAGGTCAAGTGCAAGGTCAGCCATGCTCAGAATACATCCGTGCAGACAGGAGAGGCATCTGAGCCTGACAGAAGTGGAGAAGCAATCAAGGGATGGTGCAAAGCCCAGGCCAAATATTGAGGCAGCACAACCAGGCAAGGAGAGATGAGAAGAACATTCTAGGCAAACTTGGTGCCACTAAGATGATTATGACAACAATGATGGTAACAACAGCTGCTAAAACTTGTTGAGCATTTACCACAAACCAGGATTACCTGAAGGTTCTATAAGTCATTCAGTCCTCAACAAGCCCATGAAGTGTGTGGTATCCTCATTTTGCAGATAAGGTAACTGAGGCTCAGATATAAAGTCGCTTGCCCAAGATCACGCAGCTAGCAGGGAGCAGAGCCAGGTTTGAAACAAGGTAGGCTTGCCTTGGGGCTGTGCTCTTAACCACCATGCTCACTGCCCCTAAGCACAGGATGGAAGTCAGGGACTTGGGACCCTTCCCAGCTGTCACCAATGAGTAAAAGCAGAAGCCATGATGTTTCTGAAACAGGTGACCCTGTGGTTCAGGAAGTCACAGGGAAAGCATCGAAAGTGCAGCCAACCGCACCTACTCTCCCTTATGTGACCCAAAAGCAGTCAGAGAAGGAAGGTTCAAGAAACCGTCATGTGTGAACCACAAGGGAAATGGAACAGCGAAGAACGAAAAGGAAGCTCCGTATCATCTAGGCCAGTCGATAATCAGACTTCCAGATTTCCGAGACAAGTAAAATCCAACCCCAAATTTTGGGAACTAGCTGCACAACAGGGCTGCTCTATTTTTATCACGTATGGACATTAACAAGATGCACCAATTATCCCTATCACTCAATTCATCCTTTCACCATTTATCATTTATTGTGTCCACCTTCTCCAGCTGCTGCTCCTCATTCTCCCCCAAGGTCAGACACTTTTCCAACAGTCCCTGAGGGCCCAGCTTCCCGACAGTTCCACCCTCAGGCTCCACCTCAGATCTGACCCGCTCCTGGGGCTGCAGCCCTGGCATGCACCAACCAATAACGTCCAAACCAGCACCTGGGACCTTGGCCCTGCTCCCAGGCTTCAGACAGACAGCTGTCCCGGGACACACTTCTCCTGCTCTCTCAGCCAATAAGGAAGAAAAGGAAGAATCATCCTTCAGTCAATAATAAGGGGGGGGGGGGGAGTATGAGTCATCTCTGTCAACAGTAAGAAAACAGCCATCACCTCTCTGCCATCCTGTCACCACAATCACACCAACTCCCCCTCTCTCAAATTTCTCACACACACATATCCCTCCTCCTAAGACCTTAACTAGGTCTGGGAATAGTCTCATCTAGATATTTCTCAGCAGCTGCTGAGGGGGTAGGGGGGCAGCAGCTGCATTTACCACTCCCACCCTCCTGCATCTAGGCATGAGGGGTGCAGGCAGGAGACAGGAAGGGGATGTGTGGAAAGGTTATCTACCACCTGCACACCCCGCCCATAAAAACTTCCCTCCGGCCTCTACTGTCCATCTTTTCCACCTGCTCCCTGGACCCTCATACCCAGGATGGCCTTAAGAGCCGTGGGCTGAGGAGGCTGAGCTGAGGTCAGCCAGACCCAGACCCCCACCGCCTGCTGACTAGTGCACCTGATGTGAGCAAGAAATAGCATCTCTTGTGTTAAGCCCGGAAGGGGGGGGGTGAAGGGAGGGAGGGAGGAAGGAAAGGAAGGAAAGAAGGGAAGGAAGGGAGGAAAGAAGGAGAGGAAAGGAGGGAGGGAGGGAAGGAAGGAAGGAAGAGGGGAGGGAAGGAAGGAGAGGAAAGGAAGAAAGGAAGGAAGGGAAGGGAGGAAGGAAAGGAAGAAAGGGAAGGAGGGATGGAGGGGAGGAAAGGAAGGAGGGAAGGGAGAGGAGGGGAGGAAGGAAGGGAAGGAAAGGAGGAAGGGAGAAAAGGAAAGGACAAAGGAGGAGCCCAGTCCTCCACAGAAAGGGGCAGGCTTCTGGACAGAAGCCACCTGCGCCCCGGGAAGCGAGCTGGAGCTGAGGCGGCCTGGGACTGGGGAGTCGTCCTGCGGCGGCGGCGGGAGCCCTGGGCGCCGAGGCCCTGCAGCTGAGGGGAGCGCGGCGCCCAGGAGCCCCGCAGCCGCTCGGCCGCTCTCCCTCCGAGAGCCCGGGGCGGGGGGGAGGGGGGCCGCGCCCCGAGTCGCCCCCCCCCCCCGACGGAGGAGCCTGGGGGCCGCCGTCCAGCGCGAGCCCTCCCACAGCGCCCGGCAGTCAGGGGGACTCGGGAGGTGCCCGCTGAGGAGAAGGGCGGCGGGGGCCGCGGCGGCGCCCGCCCCAGGGGGCCCAGAGCGGGGCTGCGGGCGGGGCCCCTCGTCCCCGGCCGCCGTCGGGCTGCGGGCGCGGCGCTTACCCGGCCCTCAGGAACTTGCAGGCCCCGTAGACCAAGAACTTGCAGAGGTGCAGCTGCGCGCACAGCCCCACGCAGGCCGCCTTGGGGCTCTGGTGCGCGCGGCACAGGCGCAGCGCCGACACCGCCAGCACCACGCGCCCGGGCGCCGCCGCGCCGCCCGCGCCCGCCCGCGCCGCCACCGCGAAGCGGCCGCGCTCCCGCAGCAGCCGCTCCAGCGCCTCGGCGCCGACGCCGTCCCGCAAGCGGCGCCGCAGCTCCTCCAGCTCCAGGGCGCCCCCGGCCGCGCACAGCACCTGGGTCACCTCGCCGAGGACGGCGGCCTGGGCCATGGCGGCGGCGGGCTGCCCGTCGGGGCGCGGCTGACGGGACGCGGGCGGCGGGCGGCTCCCGCGGGGCGCGGACGCCAGCTGGAAGCGAAAGCGAAAGCTCCCCGGGGCCCGGGAAAACGGAACCCGCGGCGCCTCACCACGCCCACCGGCCCGCAGCTGAGGGGGCTCGGCGCCTTCCGGCCTCAGGGCGCCCAGCTGCGCGCGGCCGCCGCGCTCCGCGGCCCGCTCCCCGGCTCCGTCGGCGGCCCGGACGGGCGGAGGCGGGGGCCGCAGGCAGACGCAGGCTCGTCGCTCGGGGCAGCGCCTCGGGGCTCTCGCGGCGCCTTCACCTAGTGGCCGGGGGCGGCGACGCCCGGGCCGTGCGCAGCTCCGGCTGAGGCCCCGGGCCGTCGGGAAGCGCGCGGCCGCCAGGCCCGCTACGTCTCCGCCCGCGCGCTGCCGGAGCGCCCGGGACGCCAGCCCACCTGCGGACGGAGCCCGGCCGCCCCGACGGCTCGGACGACGCGGGGCCGCGGGCGGGGGCGGGGCGGGGCGGGGCGGGGCGGGGCGTCGCGGCCAGGCCCCGCCCCCGCCCCGCCCCCGCCCCGCCCACGTGACCGCAATCCCTCGGGATTGCCGGCGGGGTCGCGGCCGCGCGCGCGCGCTCTCCCTCTCTCCCCCTCTCCCCCTCTCCCCCTCTCTTCAGGGCTTGCCGGGAACCTCGCGTCTTAAGCTTGAAAGGGTCGTGTCTGTCCTTGGAGAGAGCGGCCCTGTTCCTCCCCAGCCCTGCCGCACGGAGGGACCAGGTGTTTCGGAGCAGTCGGAGCGCAGGCGCGCACGCTTGGGTGCCCCCCCCCCCCCAGATGTGAGCTGTTACAACCCTTTGGGAAAGTAGTCCTTAAGGTTTGTAAGTGTGCCTGACCTTTGACCCAGCAGTCGGCCCTCTGGGAATCTTCTAGAAGTAAAAGCAATAGCAGGTAAGTTTCCTAGTTAAGTGTTGGTGTGGGGGGAGCCCTGGGTCCTTATCCAGGCCGTTCGACGGCTTTAAACCAGCAGGTGGGCGGCCCAGCGCCGCCTTCTGCCCAGGCTGTGATCCTGGACACTCGGGATCGAGTCCCACGAGTCCCACGTAGGCCTCCCTGCAGGGAGCTTGCTTCTCCTCCCTCTGCCAATGTCTCTGCCTCTCTTTCTGTGTCCCTCATGAATAAACAAATGAGATCTTTTAAAAGAAAATGTGGATTTTTGAAAAATTGTGTAAAAGGCTTTTTTTTTAAAGATTTGAGAGAGCGCGCACATGATGGGGGGGCAGAAAGAGAGAGAGAGAGAGAAGCAGACTCAACCTGCTGAGAGCCCCACCCGCCCCCATAAAATTGTGTAAAAAATTTTTGTTGGAAATTTAATTTTTAGGGGCTCCTGGATGACTCAGTGGGTTAAGTGTCGGTCTTCCGCTCAGGTCATGATCCCAGGGACCTGGGATCAGGTCCTGCATGGGGCTCCGTGCTCAAGGAGCCTGCTTCTCCCTCTCCCACTACCTCTGCTTGTGCACTCACACTCTGTGTCAAATAAAACCTTTTTTAAAATTAATTTTTTAATTTAAATTTTTAATTGTGATTTTAATATTGATTTGCAATACAATATTTCTTAAAAGGGTGACATCAGTGAAAGTGGTGGAGTAGGGACGTCAAAACGTTTGCCCGTCAGTGGCAGTGTGGCCACAGTGAAAAAGCTGGCAAATATGGTCAGAATCCATTCTTTAAGAGCTTTAGAAATTAAAGTCTTACAGCAGCTCATTTAGCATTTAGTCAAGAAGAACAGCTGCGTCAAAGTGAAAACATTAAGCTTTGTGGCATTTGCACTTACCCTGCTCCCATCTCCTGAATTTTGTGGCAGCCTCGAAAACTAAAAGCCCACACTCTTGGTACCAGTACCAGAGACAGCAAAACAGGGCTGGAGCTTTTTCAAAAAAGCATCGTTTGGCTTGTCTACTAGTTGCGTGAAGGGCCCCCCTGAAAAGGGTTGTATTTATTCATCCTCACTGGAACTAGCCCGGTCCCAGTGGCTTTTCCCCAGGGGTAGTTCAATGTTTTAATATCATGACTGGCTGACGCAATGGATAATAGTTGAGGCAAACAAAAGACTAACCAAAAGTTTAAAAGGAAAAGCTGAAGAATGAGATGTCCGTTGGGGCTTTGAAAAGCTCGACATATTTCTAGGAATCTAGAAGGCTGCGTGCACGCCTCACTGATTGCGTCTCCCGCAAGTCACAACAAAGGTTCTTGCCCACATTTTCCCCACTCCCTCTGCCTCCTCCCCAACACTGTGCCGGCCTCCAGTTACTAGGGGCCTGTGAGTATTAAAAGCATCTTTCATAGCAGACCTTGCCATGTGCACACGTCCTACCATACCTGATGAAAACACCTCTCTTGGGATCCCCGGGTGGCTCAGCGGTTTAGCGCCTGCCTTTGGCCCTGGGCATGATCCTGGAGACCTGGGATCGAGTCCCGCATCGGGCTCCCTGCGTGGAGCCTGCTTCTCCTTCTGTCTGTCTCTGTTTCTTTCTCTCTCTCTCTCATGAATAAATAAAATCTTTAAAAGTAATAAAACCCCTGTGTTTTAAAATGCAGGTCCTGAAGGAGTGTAAGGTAGAAGAAGAGTTAGAGGATTCCTACCAGACATCCAGGTGGAAATGCCCGGCCTGCCCTTGGATCTGTGAGTCTGGCACTTGCAGAAGAGGGCAGAACTAGGACTGTGAACACGCAGATGGTTAAACCCACAGGACTGATGAGATGGGTCAGCAAGAATATCCACTGAGAAGAAGAGTATTCCAAGGATCTGCCCCTCTGATGAAGAAGGTGAATGAGGAGACCGAGAGGGGGCAGCCACTGAGGTAGGGGGAAAACTAGAATTTGGGAATCGTGAAAGCCAAATATTTAAATATCTCAAGAAAGGATGATCAACCGCATTGAGCGCCATCAAGAGACTGAGTGAAAGAGGACAGAGAAATGTGTTCTCTATTGCTGTGCAACAAAGCACCCCAGAACGTGGTGGCTGAAACCAGTGGTTTCTTTTTCATGGTTTTGTGAGTTGACTGAGCTCAGTTGGGTGGTTCTGCTTTACACAGTATAACCAGTCATCCCTGGGGCTGCATCCTGCTGGGAGCTCAGCTGGGACAGAACATCCAGGATAGCCCCTCATCCCCCAGGGTCTCCAGGTGGCTGCTCACTACTTAGTAGTCTGTCCTGAGCTTTATGACAGTGGGCGGCAGAATGGCAAGAAAGATGATTGGAGGGTGCTGAAGCTTGAGCAGGCAGTGAGGACGTGGCAACAGCAAATGGAGATAGTATCCGCAGGAAGGTTTGCTGTAAAGGCAAACAGGAGGTCGTGGTTAGCAAGTGACCTTACTGGAGGGAGGAGAGGGAGGTGGGGTCAACGAAGCTTTCTGTCCAAGTGTTGTTCTAAGATGAGGTCTTCATAGTTTCATTCTCTATAACTTATCCAGTGGGGAGATTGCTGATGGCTGAATCATTTGTTGGGGTGGGGAGGGGGCAGTTTGAGGACAGCATCCAAGAATCTGGCTTGGGCGACTGAATATTGGTAAGGTCATCCACCAAGACACCTATGGGGATTTGGGATCTGATACAGAAGGGTAAGGTGTCCACCACGTGGAGTTGATCTGGAGTTGAGGAACCAAGCCGGGAGCTGTGTCTCTTGGTCCTGCTCTTGACCAAGCTTCTCCCTCTGACCAGGAATCTTTAGAGCCCAGTCTCTACTGGGCTCAGCGTACTTATATGCTGGTTTGTGACCAGGCCAACGGCATCATGATTTGTCTTCCAAGGTGAGACCTGCTAGCCCCTGAGCAACTCCCTTTCTGACAATCACACTGCCCAAGAATAAAGCAGAGCGACAGCACCCATGAAGGGTCCTGCTTCAAAGCTCTGAAAATACTGCTCAGCAGAGTCAAGTAACTTTCAGCAAGCTCTTTTTTCTCTCCTTTATTTTTTTTTAAAGATTTTATTTATTCATGAGAGACAGAGAGAGAGAGAGGCAGAGACACAGGCAGAGGGAGAAGCAGGCTCCATGCGGGGAGCCTGACGTGGGACCCAATCCCAGGTCTCCAGGATCATGCCCTGGACCAAAGGCGGCGCTAAACCGCTGAGCCACCCGGGCTGCCCTTCCACTCCTTCACATAGAAATGCTTTCATGGTGAGGTACCACCCAATTAATTTGTTTTGCAGTTTTACACATTAACTATTACTTTATAACTATTGCTGTGTGTTCAAAGCAAGGCACACCGATATAAACTGATGTTTACAAAGCAATTACAATAAAAATTTTAACTTTTAAATGTGAGCTATATAATCAGTTTATTTCATTAAAGAAAAATCTTTACTATCACCTTTTTCTTATTGTAAAGAAACTTGAAACATTTGTTTTTATAATACCACACTGGTGAGTTTCCAGTTTGTTTTTATTTTACTTTATTTATTGAGAGAGAGTACACGTAACTGTGCTAGCAGGAGTGGGGTGGTAGGGAGCCACAAGGAGAGAATCTCAAGCTGAGCACCAAGCCAGCCGCCAGCTCAGTCTCACAGTCTCAGATCATGACCTGAGCTGAAATCAAGAGTCCAACACTTAACCAACTGCGCCCCTCCACAGTTTTCCAGAGTTGACAGAAACAGAATTCAACAGTGGTTGAAGGTTCTTTTCTCGTTGTTCTGCATCTTTGTTTTACACCTCTTCCACTGCCTCCCATCCCATCCCGCTGTGAGAGCGAGAGAGGAAATCACAGCAATAAGAACTGTGTTTATGTATTTATTCAGTGTATTTTTGGTGAGATTGGTGCTAAACTCTAGAACATGTCGAGGATAAAGGAACACATTTGGGCTGATAGTTCAGATAGACAAAAAAAGGAAAGTACACACTGCAGAGTGAGAAGTACAGCGATTGAAGCATAGACAAGGCAGAAGGTAGGCGAGGGGGGAGAAGGAGCTCCCTGGTGACCCACTCGCCAGCCCCACTAGGCTGCCACTACAGCACCCCAGGAATACAAGGGCCTGAGTGCTGATGGTTGTGAATAGGCACGAGGGTGTAAGCAGTGTGTTCTTGGGCAGCTAACCCATACCCTGTGGTAGAGCACACTTGCCTCTTTTAATTACAAATTCAACAAGTTATTTGAATTAGGAAAAAAAAAAAAACCAAAACATAAAACCTAAGTGTGTACGACGAGTTCCCAGGCTCAGTGATCTCCCCATTCTCACTCCCCAGGTCACCAGCCACCACTGACTTGATGCAGGTTATTACAGACACAGATGTATCCCAAGTTCCTTAGGGCAGCTTCTAGAGTGAATGATTTAGGGGAAGGTCAAATACTACTCTTACTGTGGAGAATCTTTCGTTCCAGGTTTTATCTTTTAAACTGTACACGTTATTTCCCATTTTTAGGGCCCTCATTTTTTCCTTTTCTCCACCTGTGGCATAGAAGGGCCACAGCATTTCAGAATTAGCACTTGAAAAGAGCGTAAAGGGTATTATTTCTGGGACCAAGGTTGGGAAGAGGCCAGGAAGAGGGAATGGAGAACCTGGAAGGGAAATGAAGATGAGGACATGGATGGGAAGGAGTTTTGGGGGTGGGGGTAGGAGAGAAGCCAGGCTCTGGAAGGCAGGCAGAAAGCCTTTTCTTTCTCCTTCCTTATCTGGACTGGCCTGCTTATAGAGCTGAGGGGCACAAGATGGCAGGAGAGGCTTCGGCGTGGGAAGGGCAGTGGCAGAAGCAGCAAGGGAGGCAGTTGTGCTCTCACGTGGGGGCCAAGCCCGTGGAAGCAGTGCGCCGGGCACGGCCTCTACTCACACCCTTGGTGTGTGGCTTTGGCAACTGCTATTAGGTTCATATATTTTAACAGTATCCTGTGCCCACTGTTTACAGCCTGTTCTCCACTAGACGATGATACCCTAGCAGATAAACCACAGTCTTCCATGTGTGCCTGTCCCTGGGAAAACTAGACTCAAAGTTAAGTAACGGAAAACTTCTGAAGAAAATGTATTTCAATCCAAAATGGGTACCTACAAAGAAATGTTTAGAACATAAACCATTCCTAAGAACTATCTAGTCCGCAATGAAACGCCGGGGCACCTGCACCCCGATGTTTCTAGCAGCCATGTCCACAATAGCCAAACTGTGGAAGGAGCCTAGGTGCCCATCGAAAGATGAATGGATAAAGAAGATGTGGTTTATGTATACAATGGAATATTACTCAGCCATTAGAAACGACAAATACCCACCATTTGCTTCAACGTGGATGGAACTGGAGGGTATTATGCTGAGTGAAGTAAGTCAATCGGAGAAGGACAAACAGTGTATGTTCTCACTCATTTGGGGAATATGAATAATAGTGAAGGGGAATATAAGGGAAGGGAGAAGAAATGTGTGGGAGATATCAGAAAGGGACACAGAACATAAAGACTCCTAACTCTGGGAAATGAACTAGGGGTGGTGGAAGGGGAGGAGGGCGGGGGGTGGGGGTGAATGGGTGACGGGCACGGAGGGGGACACTTGACGGGATGAGCACTGGGTGTTATTCTGTATGTTGGTAAATTGAACACCAATAAAAATTAATTTATAAAAAAAAAAAAAGAACTATCTAGTCCTATATAATAATGGAAAGTATGTATAAAGTAATTAGAGAAAGAAATTCAGAAAAAAATACCATAGCTTTTATTTAGGCTTTTGATTCAAACTCAGTTTTACTTATCAGAGTGTGAACCTGGACATATTATTTACCCTCTCTGGCCTCGGTTTCCTCTGTAGGATGGATGGACAATGTAGCACCTACCTCTTTGGGTTAGTCGGAGGAAGAAATGAAAATATGCCTTGTCTACAGGAAATACTCACGTGGAATAAAGGTAATGAGGGCTTCTGTTCAAAACTCTGTCCACAGCATAGCACCTGATTCTTCTCTATTTAAAATGAGGGGTGTGTAACACACCATATCACACAGTGATGGGTCTGTCCGCCTCACTGCCTGGTGCAAACACAAAAACCAGGCTAGAAGTCTGAGGAAAGCAGGTCCTGATAACTAATAACAAATGAGCCTAACGAAGGGTAAGCATCCCACAGGTATACAGTCTGTGGATTTTTACAAAAGAACAGATTAGTTCTTTTGAGATTTAGGTCTCAATCAGCTTGGACCAGAGCAGGCCAGTTAAGAAAGAGGAGGTGTAAACGTGCCTGGGGTAACACTCTTGTAAGTGCGTGTACTCTGGTATAACTACTGTCTTGCAGGTATTAGGTATACAAAGAGGACAAGTCTGTGTTCCTTCTGAAGCCTTGGTTTCCATGACCAATCAGGGTCCTCCTCCAGAGTGGACTCTCAGCCACTTCCTGCCCCCGCCCCCTCCCATCCCAGGCTCTTCTGCCCTGAAGTGTTGCCCCCAGCCCCTCCCTGCCCCTGCCCCCTCCCATCCCAGGCTCTTCTTCTGCCCTGAAGTGTTGCCCCCAGCCCCTCACTCCTTCCTTGGTCTGTAGCTCCCTCTTACTTCACCATGTATCATCCCAGACCTGGCTTTGGGGTCTCTCAAAGTACCAAGGCTGACACAGAATTTGTCTTTTTCGTTAAACTAGCACTTCCCTTCCACCTTCACTGAGGCAGCTGGTCACCATGGCACATCTCTCCCCCAACTTTCACGTCTACCATAAGCTCCCTGAGGACTAGGGCTTTGTTTCGTTCACTCTTGCAGTTCCAGCACTAGAAAAGCACTTGGTATACTGCAGGTGCTCAATAAATATTTGTGGGGTGCCTGGGTTGTGAACAATGAGTGCTCTTAAATGTTCCTCAGTAAACACCCACATCATGGCCAGGGCACAGCAGTATCTTGCCAAGTACCCTTTTGTGTTCCTTCCTCTCTCTCAGCAACTGCTTCCCCAGCAATACGTCTAATAAAAGAGTAAGACACTTTACGTTTCACATTTAAATCTTCAGAAATAGTAAGAACCGTAAGTTTGACACAGTTTTTCACATTCTCAAATCTCCTGTGAGTCAATAAGCACAAAAAGGGAACGGAAAGTCAGAATTAGATATAGAATTCAGATTTTTTTTCTTTCAAAGACACATTTTATACAACTTTCAACATTTATACTTTCAAACAAAATAAGCAAAAAATACACCGAGTGCTAAAAAATCAAAACAGAAGTAATACAATTTTAATTTCAATTTTTTAAAATACAGAAATTGGAAAGAATACTAAATACAACTTTAAACAAGTCACTTGTCCTCCCCTATAATAACCAATGTAAGCTACTTAAAGACTTACAAATTTAAAACAGAAACAAAATAAATACTGTACACTTTCCCTGCCTGCAGGCAAAAGATGGGAAATACTGTTATGAATCAAAAAAAATGCTCTTAAAGCTTCAGCATCCCATTTCCCAGCCACACCCCACTCTGTTGTCACACCGTGTGCTTCTGTATTCAAAGGACACACATGTGCACACATACTGCCTATACAAACAGACAAGACACTACTCCGCAGACACCCCAAACGAGAAAGGGTAACAGTCACCTTGGACCATGGGCATAAAAATCAGTTAAGGAAAGTCAGTCAGGCTAGCAAAACATTACTACAAAACTAGTAAATACTATAGCCAACAACTGTCCCCTTTTCAAATTTCACAGATTTAAAACCCCTAAAACCAATACTACCCCCACATTGCCACCCTCTAACACCCCCCACCCCCCAAAAAAAAAACAACCTGCTGAAGCACTGGCAAAGTTAGACATTTCACAGTAAATGTGAAAATTCATATTATATAATCTCTTAAAATGAACCTTTTCACCCTCTTTCCACAGCATGAAACTGTTATGGCTTAATTTATATTAAAAGTAGAAAAGTCTTTTCGGAAGGAAATACAGTCTGCAAAGATGCATATGTGTTTCCTGATCAGTGCTATTTCATACCTAACAACTGCATGACCTGCTTTTGCAGTCAGAAGCTGTTTTTGAAAAATTGAGGTTATAGCTTTTGATTCAGTCTAACCATAAATGTAAGGCCCTTAGTTTGGTTTAGTTTCTTTTGCAAGATAAAATAACCTTGGGGTTCACTTAGCAAGTTACACCTCAGGTCCCTGACTATAATGTGGAAGTCTATATGTATGCTTTGTAAAAATAAAAGGTTACTTATGAATCTTAGAGGGGAGAAATGATTCCGGGGAAGGAATCAACTCCTCATTATATATCACACTTAATGCTGGTAACTGTTACCAACCAAGATCCACCAAAGAAATATAAGAGTATGTCTGGGTTACTTTATTCCTGCAAAATATTATATATTCCAGCACTTATGATCATTGTTTTGGTGAAAAATCCTGGGGAAAAAGAGCTGACATTTTGAAAAGGAAATGGCCTAAATAAAACCGGGTGGAGCCAAGGTTTATCTTTATGGTTTTAAGTTCCCTTTAGGACTGCTTTGTAAAATAAAGAAAAGTGAATTCAGAATGTCACAGGTCTTGCATAGGTAAACTACTTGGAGGTCAAGGGCTACGTGGTAGCCAGGGTTTATTAGTGAAATAGTGCAGAGCAGATAAACTTGGAAGAATCACTGAATACAGTTTCAAAAAGGTTTTAACAAAAAATTTAATCTTGCACTTGTTAAGACAAAGCTTTAGGACACTAGAAAGGGCACCAAGGGTGAGCAAGAGAGTCTAAGGGATAGAATGCAGGCGAGTATTATTTTCCCCTACCCAGTATAAAGGGGAAAAATACTATAAAAGAATAAAACCACAGTCATAAGCTAATTGCTTTGGAAATAGGCATTTACTTAACAACCTTACTTTAAAAATTTTGTTTATGTAAGGGTATCAAATATTTGACTTATGGCATGACGTTCCCTGGAAAATAAAAGGGTTTTTTAGTAAGGCTACATACAGTATTAAAATTACGTTTCATGAGCAATGTAGTAAGTATATTATCTCTCCCCCTTTCTTTCCACCTGACATGTAGTGAGTGTATCATCCACTGGATGAGCAGAGGCTGCACAATGTCACACAATAGGGGCTGTCGCAGGAAGCAAGGTACCTGATGTCTGGGGTCCACCATGACCCTGGGCACATCAGGCCCTCCTGGCTTTCATTGGTCTCCTTTACTTACTGGCAACACTCTTTTCCTAAAGTCAACTTTCTCCAGATTGCTTTAGATAAAGGCCTAGGACGTCTGAAAATGACTGATGAGTTGTAGCTTCTCTTTTCAGAAGGAGCAATTAGCTTAGTATTTAATGGGGGGAAAATAAGCTTTTGAAAAAGTTTCAGATTTACACTATTAAGCCCTCATTTCTTATGTGAAATTGTAAAATGCTTACATACTGCAATTGTCACTTCTGGCCGTGGTCCAGGGGGCTGTACAATTACTCCTCCTCTCTTTGGGGAGTAGCCGTCACTACAGACGGCATCTCTCGAAAAGGGCAGAAAGAATCTTCTCCTTTCAAGATGTCTGGTCAAGTCTCCTTTCCACCTCTATAGTGCTTTCCCCCTACCAGCTGCTTGCTGTTAGCCAACTCGGAGCAGTCTTCGTTGGTTCTCGTCTTCTAACCACCTTATATTTTTCCCCTAGCTCCATGGGTAATTGCTACATCATTTTAATTCCATAACTTATTTTACCTTTATCTAGCCTCTGAAGGGTAGGCAGGATCTCTGGCGCAGTTGAGCAAAACCTAAAACCATTTTTGAATTCCTTTAAATTATTTTAATGATTACTTGGGGATACGCCTTCTCACTCTTATTCATAAACTATCTCACTTGTTTTTCTTTCACTTCAAGCATGGATTCTGATTTTAATTCAACACTTTGTTAGAGATTCTTCAGATTTTTTAGGTATCATGATGCTCTGGGCATATACTTGAGATGAAACAAATTTTATGAGTAACAGTTTTCACTTAAAAAAAAGGCATATAAATGTACTTTGTCAGTTGTAACTTAAATAATGATAAATTCTCTGCAAGCATGAAGTGTTAATGCTTTTCTGTGTTGTTCTTAACCACATTTTTATCCAAACTTACAAATGAGAAAACCAAGACTCAGAGTAAGTGACTTATTTACAGTCACATAGCTGATACATAAATGACAGAACTTGGACAAAAACCCAGGTTCATGCTCCCTTCCATGCTATGTAACACACCCCTCTATTATCAACATTAAATTATTAACTTTTGAAATGTTTAAACTTTAAAAATTTTTAAAAATTTACTTCCACTTCTACAGTTATACATTTCAGTTGAAACTAATAAAATTATGCTATCTTTCTTAACACATGGGCCCTCTTTTGCTTAAAGTTTGTTTAGAAATGAAAAAAAATGAAAAAAAAAAGAAATGAAAGTAATACTGCTTATTTCCTGGAGAAGATAACTTCGAGAGCAGAGACCACAACTTCAGCCTTCTATCTCACCACAGTACTAAGCAGTGCTGGGCACACAGACATTGGATAAATACCTGCTGCCATCATATGAGTCAATACAGTAGAGTTCATTTAAAAGGCAATAATTAGGATTATTAAAAAATAGATCAGTATTGAAGCTAAGTAAGTCGTGATAACGATGGTCTTGTTTTCTCTGAGTTTCTGTGATTTCGGTCAGAATTTTTAATTGTGTGCTTAAAAATTAACTGATGCTTATGAAATTCAGTGTATTTCTAGGATGCTGAACTACTATAATCTGCCAGTTTTGTGTTGTTTACATCATTAGTCAATCCTGAAAAGTGTATTATGTGACATTATGAGTTACAGTACAGGGGTTCCCAGGTTAACAGAAGTCCCTTTTTGAATCAGTACAGAAAAATCATTATCTACCACTACCATTAAAATCGCATATTTCAAGTCACAACTGTTTTTATCTATTTGCACATAATTAGCTAAATGCCACCAATGTCTCCTTATCTAAGCTGCAGCATTTGTGTGGTAGGAGGGTTTATAAATGAGACTAAGGAAAACACAGAAGGTTGTCTATTACAGCCGAGTCCAGATACTGGCTGCAGTCGTCTCAAAGTCCAGCCACTTCCATGAGATAAATGGATGCATAACAGCCAGTAAGTTTAGAAGAAGTTTGACTTGGCAACTCACTGGGCCAATAGGCTGAATTTTCACCAATTTGGAAAAAGGTACATGAATTCTATTTCAGTAGTTAGATTATCTTACTCAAAGTGTTTTTTTTTTTTTTAACTTAGCCAGTTCATGGGCAAAACCTGCCAAAAATTAATCCACAGTAACTTCACTTACTACTAACACACAGTGGCTATTTAAAATTAGATTTATTGG